ATTAAAGCCATCATAAAATACCAAGAGCAGGAAAAATTTATGACACTGTATCTATGTCCTCAATTGGAACAAGAACTATATCTTGGAATAGACTTCTGGCGAACATTCGAATTAGCCCCTGATGTGATAGGAACTGCTGAAATTAATATAGAAAAAGTTTTCAGGGATATGACTGATACGGGTCCCGACTACAAACTCAACCCTCACGAGTTAACAAATGATCAAGAGAATCGATTAAAATGCATAGTAAAAAAATTCAAGACCTTTGAACAAAATGGGCTAGGTTGTACTAGTTTAGAAAAGCATTCGATTAAGCTCGTGGAAGGTGCGGAACCGGTTAAAGACCGCCACTATCCAATGTCTCCAGCGGTTCAAGCTATCACGTACCAAGAAGTCGATAATATGTTAGCACTTAATGTTATTGAGGAAAGTGAAAGCCCTTGGAGCAATCGTACAACTATCGTACGAAAGCCCGGAAAAAATCGTTTCTGTCTGGATGCTCGAAAGTTAAATAAGCTCACGGTCAAGGACGCATACCCCCTGCAAAACATTGAAGGAATACTAAGTCGCATTGATGAAACTCATTACATTAGCAGTGTGGATCTTAAATATGCGTTCTGGCAAATCGAATTAGACGAAGAAAGCAAGCCGTACACCGCTTTTACGGTCCCAGGTCGTCCATTGTATCAATTCCGTGTGATGCCGTTTGGATTGTGTAATGCTGCACAAAGGTTATGTCGACTGATGGACAAAGTCATTCCCCAACGACTCAAGGAGAATGTCTTTGTGTACCTGGACGACCTGTTGATTATTTCAAGTGATTTCGACGAGCATCTTCGTCTATTGAATGAAGTAGCCGATTGCCTTGACCGAGCGAGTTTAACAATCGGGTTAACCAAGTCAAAATTTTGTTTTCGTCAGTTGAGATATTTGGGTTTTATTATTGGAGAAGGCATGTTGCGTACTGACCCCGAAAAAGTAGAAGCAATTCGAAAAATTAGAATTCCCAAAAGTGCTAGGGAAGTGAGAAGTTTTCTGGGTACAGCAGGATGGTACCGAAGATTTATTAAAGACTTCGCGTCACTTTCAGCTCCCCTTACTGATACCCTGAAGAAATCGCCCAAATTCGTAATTACGGAAAAGGCAAAGGAGGCATTTGAAAACTTAAAGAGGGCCTTAACTTCCGCACCGGTGTTACGCCACGCAGATTTTTCCAAACCCTTTTTTATTCAATGTGATGCTTCGGAATATGGCATCGGCGCTGTTCTATTTCAGCTGAATGCCGAAGGACATGAGCATCCGATCGCTTTCTATTCGAAAAAGCTCAATAAGTGTCAGAGAAATTATAGCGTGACAGAGAAGGAATGCTTGGCGGCGGTGATGGCTATCAAAACTTTCCGTCCTTACGTGGAGCTAATGGAATTCACCGTGATAACAGATCACGCTAGTTTACAATGGCTGATGAGTCTAAAGGACCTCAGTGGTCGTTTAGCTCGCTGGTCATTGCAACTTCAGGGATTTAACTTCAAAATCGAGCACCGAAAAGGAAAGGAAAATGTTGTCGCCGATATGCTATCCCGCCTACCCAATGCCGACGAAATAGACATGAATCGGGTTTTTGAATTCGAGACCACCGAGTTTGAAAGTGATTCGTACAAACAGCTTAGAGAAATTATTGCAAATAAAAAGGAGAATCTCCCCGATCTAAAGATTGTCGACAATATGGTATTTAAAAGAGATCACAAGTCCTATAACCCAGAAACACAAGAGTTTCAGTGGAAATTGTGGGTCCCAGAGTCTTTGACCCATTCTTTAATAGAGCAAGCCCATGATAGAACGACGTCAGCTCACGGAGGCATATCAAAAACCATTTTTCGTTTAAGAGAAAAATATTACTGGCCTCTAATGGTATCCCAGGTTAGGCAATATGTGTCTAAATGTACTGTTTGCAAAGAGACAAAGCCTACCAATGAAAATACTCAGCCTCAGATCGGAAATGAAGTCGTGACAAATCTTCCCTTCCAGAAACTCTACGTTGACTTCCTCGGGAAATACCCCCGGTCTAAAAGTGGCAACGCCTTTATATTTATAGTGGTGGACCACTTTAGCAAATTTACATTTCTTAAGGCAATGAAAGAGGCAACAGCTTCCAATGTGGTAAAATTTATGGTTGAGGATATATTTCGTAAGTTTGGCGTACCCGAGACGATACATTCCGACAATGGGGCACAGTTCGTATCTAAAACTTTCAAAGACATGATTGAAACATATGGAATCAATCATATCCAAACAGCTCCATATGCTCCGCAGTCTAATGCATCTGAGAGAGTCAATCAATCAGTATTGGCGGCGATTAGGGCATATCTAGAAAATGACCACAGAGATTGGGACCTGTATCTAACAGACATAGAGTGCGCCTTAAGAACATCGATTCATACTGCAACTGGTGTAACGCCATTTTTCGCGCTGTTTGGTCATAGTATGTATACCCATGGTTCAGATTATAAATTAGCTCGGAAGCTCCACTCATTGGCGGACCATGAAATTATACATTTAGATCGTAACGACAAGATGGAACTAATCCGAAATAAAATTAGACAGAATATGCATCAGGCTTATCAACAAAGCGCAAAAAGGTATAACGCAAGGGCTCGTACGATTATTTTCTCTCCGGGTCAAGAGGTATATAAAAGAAACTATGTTCTTAGCGATTTTGGGAAAAATTTTAATGCTAAGTTTGCCCGGAAATTTACGAAGTGTCGTATAGTAAAGCCCATAGGAAATAATATGTATTCTCTCGAAGATCTAAATGGAAAGGCGATTGGAATCTGTCATGCAAAAGATCTTAAAAGATAAGTGGAAAAGAAAGTCTTTTCAATCCCCTTTCCCAATTCAATTTTTATAAAAAGAATTCTAAAATAACTCTCAAAAACTATTTCACATTTGTTACCAATTCTATATCACATTTATCAGCAATGGTTTAATTCAAAATCGAATGAATCAAAACAAAACATAGAAAATGTGTCTGAGGAAACTAAATACGATAGTGAAATCACCTTCGTACTGAATTCATTCGTATTAAGGTTCAAAAATATCAGCTGATCTGTTCCCCTAATTGGGTAATTCAAGTTAATCAGACTCTAGTTTCACGTTTATCACAGCTGTCTAATTTCTTTTACAATATATTCTACGCGACATACAAATTTGAAAAAAAAAAAAAAAAAAAAATGTACTTAAACACCCCCGGTGGCGATAAAAATAGCACAATCTGGTTTATTCCGGCATAAAGTAATGAAAGATTCCCATACATAAAAAGCGAACATACATAAAACTACATTCTACCAGACAATCACGTAGACACCACGATTATGGCAATTGTTTACCTATCAATCACATCAGCATATACCGCATACAAAATCCGTTCTTCGGCAACCACGACGACAAGACAGGCATAGGCACAAATATTTCCGCATGCAAAATGTTTCACCACCTATTAAGGAATGAAAGTTATTAATTGGTCAAAACAAACAAAAAAAGTACCGAAATACATTCCTAGGGCTATGCCCGCTTTCTGTCAAAATACTGCAAAATTGTATGCGACAAAATGTTTTGATAATTGTTATTTTTTTTGAATGCGTTATTGAACGCACGGATTTTTTTTTTCAAAAATGTGATCCAAACTGTTTAATCCTTCAATTCCAGGACAAAACAGGGTAATATTTTGAACGCCGGCCACGCAGTGTTCGTTTTTCCAAACATTGACATTGAAAATATTTTTTTTATTTTCAAAACAAATAATACACAATAATGACAGAAGTCGGGCACACTTGGAAAAAAAATTGTAATCAGCTTTCAGATCTACCTTACCTTTTTATTGTACCATGATTTCAATAATTTGATCAAATTATGTTTGTATCAAAGTACGTATAGATTCCAACTTTGAAGATTATATCCAACCAAGAAGAATGTGTGAAATTTTGATGGAATCGGAGAATTTTTCATTGAGAGCTGGTGGGTATTACCAGTGTAGATCCGCCGGCGAGGACAAATATATTCCAACTCCACACAAGGTCTTGGGTTGATAGAATTATTGGGTTGTTCCGGATGTTTACCTTTTTGTAGTGAAGGTCCCAAAGGAGTGGGCCGATAAATCCCATCCGTTCCTCTGAGCTTGTCTTAGTAGAAATACTGAATGCGGGATTGTATAAATGAATGAATGCGTATTTTAAAATTTATGAGCGTTTTTGATCTTCCCAAATGTTGACCTGCTATAGGGGAACTCGATCGATGTTTGGTAGTGACACGATATTTTCAGGGTGTCGGATCGAGAATTATCAGGCGAACCAGCAAGACATGTTTCACAGATCTGATGGACAGATTAGAAAAATAAATTAACTTATGTGGCTCTATTTCGATGGGGGATACTTACCAGCATGAGGGGGAGGGCTTAGACCAGCCTGCTGTTCGGAGCTTATGCCCGGCATGAGACCTTCAGGGAGTGGGATGTCCCCACGTAAATGAGTAATGCGGCCGTGCACATCACCTCCGTCCTCGATTTTCTGGCCGAAGTTGAAGTTTTGTTGCAGGCCGTTCACATTCGGCGCAAAAAGGCAACAAATATATGGGGCCGGGTTTTTTGGCAAAACCTGTCCACAACCACCGCAGAAATTATCCCAATTCTGTTGGTAGTGCATCCCATAATTGGTCCTCAAATGGATTTGCTCAGTTTTCTTGGGTTTTTAGTGAGGATGGTGAGGATGCTTCGAGATTTCAATTTGCTTGTAATTTCTGCGGGGTGTGTAGTCTGGGTGGCGATGGGATCAAAATGCCGGAAATGGTTTGATAGGGTTCGCTACGTACGAAATTAGGCTCGAACAGGGTTGAGTTAAAGAGTATTATAAAGGTAGTGAATGACAGGGTGACTCAGGCTAAGAAGTGACTAGGCAGCCCTATGATTGCTGAGTAGGTGGGAACCTACTACTACTCCGGGGTGAGCTGAAATGAGAATTCACAATAGAATAAAAAATGGCTATTGACAGTTGAAAAGAAAAAGGAATGAAAATTGAAAATGGCTCAGGAAAATGGTGTTTCGTGGAAAATGAGCGTCTGGCGGGATTCACTGAGAAGAGGGGTATAAAAGGCTGCGAGCATAAGAAAAGCCAAAGTTAAGAATAAGACGTTACCGGTGAAACTTAGCTAGAGAGCAGTGAAGAAGTGGAAAAATTTAATTTGTGTGTTGCGATTTTTTTATTGTGTAAGTAGTTTGTAACAGTGGTTTGTTGAGTAATGTGTTGTTATATGTGATGTGTGTTGCTCCAACAGGAATATTCCGGTGGTGTATCAAGCTTTTTTGGAAGCACCGAAAATTGTCCGGTTTTGGTCAGCACAACGGCGGGAAATTGCCTTTTCTTTTTGGTAACGCAAGGTAGTGGCAAGTTGTCCACAGGAGAAAAAAGCCAAAAAAAGTTACATTGAGGGTGTGGAGATTTGAATTGTAAACTGGCCAGCTGCAACTTTGAGCTTTTTGCTGTGCCTGTTATTGATCCCGCCCAGAACGCCGGCATTGTAAAAGGACCAGTCAACAAGTCCAGCTTCATTTCAGGGTTTGCCTGGCGTTCAAAATCTGTTTCCTCCGGAAAGAAGCGTAAACTGGAAGAAGAGATAAGAAGAATTAATCAATAACGTTATAAATCACTGCTCAGGTAAAAGGTGTCTTACCGTTGTGTTGTCCTTGATAGATATATTTATATATATATGTGACGTCCATAAAATTTGCTGTCTCCTTTTTTGGAACTAAAAGAAAAGAAAAAAAGAGTTAATAATCATAAATTTCGAGAAAAAAAATATAATATTCAGTATAAAGATTTAGTAATAAGATAGGTTATAGTTCTTAGGATTTAAGTAATAATCAGTTTGTAAGGGAAAAATACCGCGTTTATTTTTAAAGGCTAGGAGGTGTTACAGTAAAATTATCTTGAGTCCTTGTGATTCGATCTGATAGTTTAGGCCGTGGAATTTTAGCGGCAATTAGGCCGGTTAAGAGAGCTCTTTTAGGTGGCTAGTAATTTCGTATAGACGCGGAATATTGCGCGGGAAAAGCAAGGCAAAGGATAATATATTGGTTTCTACCGAGTAATTAAAGCCATAGATTTAAGAAAGCCCGGTATTATTCTTAATTTGTTTTTTTTTATACCATACAGTTTGTCAATTTTAGTGTAAGAAAAAAAAATAGTAGAGAAAAAAATTAAGAAAATATTTAAAGCTAACTTATTTTTTTTAATAAAATTAAAAATGATTCTTTTGTAAACAGTAGATACTAATATGTGTTGCTAAGTTTGTATAGCTTGGGGGGAAGGTGGTATGAAGTAAGTGTGTGATTCGAAGCGTGTGGCTCAAGGGGATTCAGAGAAACGCAAGAAATGGAAATACTGGATCCAGGTAGGGTGGGCGAGTGTGGGATCGATCCACCGAGATCCCTGTATGATGACTCCTATTTTGTATATCGTAGAGTAGAGCAATTGTAGTAAAGTCCCCTTTCAATGTTAGTGTGTTGGATTCGATTGGCGGGTTGAGATCCCTAGCCCTGGGAGTCTCTGTGACAGTCGGATGGCCTAATCGTATGCCGAGCATATGCACACATAACAAATTTAAATAAATTTATTAAAAAAAAATTAAAAAAAAAATATTTATATATTATATTAAATTTATTTCAAAAAAAATATTTAAAAAATTAAAAATAAGATTGAAGAGCTCGAAAAAATGTACCAAAAAAATTAAAAATAAAAATCAAACAAAAAAAATTAAAATATTGTTTTCAGAAAATGAGAGTAAATAAAAATTAATTTCTTAATTTTTTATTATTCAACAAAAATTAGGATTATTATTCAATATTTCCAAAAGAACAGACTAAAACATAAAATTTTAAATTAAATTGAAAAAAAATAAAATCTAAAATTTTTTAAGTATCCCCTAAAATATTAAATTATTTTTTTTAAATTTCTACAAAATTTAAATAAATTTATTTAAAAAAAAATATTTAAAAAAATTAAAAATAAGATTGAAGAGCTCGAAAAAATGTACCAAAAAAATTAAAAAAAAAATCAAACAAAAAAAATTAAAATATTGTTTTCAGAAAATGAGAATAAATAAAAACTACTTTTTTTTATTATTCAACAAAAAATAAATTTATTATTCAATATTTCCAAAAGAACAGACGAAAATTTTAAATTAAATTGAAGAAAAAATAAAATCTAACAATTTTTAAGTATCCCATAAAATATTATTTTTTTTTTTAAATTTCTACAATTTTTTTTTAAAAAATTAAATTTAATTATTTATTTAATTAATTTTAATATCGTTGGGATATTCCAAGGAAATCATTAATATTTTTCATTGAAAATTTCAATAATAAAACCCCAAAAATTTCTAAGAGGGAATTTTTAGTTCACAGTCCGAATTAAAAACAAATCCTTGGAGATTTACAGTCCTAACCGTAAAAGATATTAAATTGGAAATTTTGGGTCTGTTACAGAACTACAAGAAAGTAAAAGACATTAAATTGGAAACTTTGGGTCTGTTCCAGAACTACAAGAATGTATTTTTTTACTACGATAACCAATCTTCCCTATCGATGATATCGAAAAAAAATGAAAAATTGTAGATTCTTGCAGATTCTGGAACAGAGTAGAGCAGAGAAAAATAATTTAAATGATTTCAAATATGTTAACAAAATTTAGAAGCTTTTTTGGGTAATATAAAAAAGATCTTCCATCTATGATATCGAAAAAAATGCAAAATGGTAGATTCTTACAGATTCTGGAACCGAGTAGAGCAGAGAAAAATAATTTAAATGATTTCAAATATGTGTGAACAAAATTTAGAAAGTTTAAATTGGATTTGGATTTTCAATTTTTGCAAAAAATATGAATTTTTTGGGTAATATAAAAAATATCTTCCCTCTATGATATCGGAAAAAAATGCAAAACAGTAAATTATTGCAGATTCTGGAACAGAGTAGATCAGAGAAAAATAATTTAAATGATTTCAAATATGTGTGAACAAAATTTAGAAGGTTTAAATTGGATTTGGATTTTCAATATCTGCAAAAATATGCATTTTTGGGTAATTTAATCTACTTACATTTTATAATGTAAACGAATTGTTCATGTTTAAATGGTTATTTATTTTATACTTAAATTAAATTAAAATAAAATTGTCAATTCCATTGCATATACGTCAAATAAACTTTAAAGAAGAAGGTTAAAAGAACAAATGTAGACATACTAAAATAAAATCATTTTCCGTACTAAATAAATTCTTGATGGTGTAATTCAATTTTATAACATTTGAGATCAAATTTGAATTTTTATTGTTTTAATTTTTATTTTATTCACAAATTCTTGAAAAAAAATTATTTTTTGGCTGGAAAACATTTATGTATTTATTTATTTTTTTTTTTTTTTTTGGAATAATTTAGTTTGACTTATTTTTTAGAGTTACCGACACATACGGTTACCGAACTGCAAGAATGCAAAAGTTTTTAATACGATAACCGATTTTTCCCCTCCCCTTTATGATATCGAAAAAAAATTGCAAAACTAGTAGATTCTTGTAGCTTCTGGAACAGAGCAATATTGTTCACAAAGTCTAAAAATAAATTTGGCAACATTGTTGCTATGGATAAGACTTAACTACTATATCATTTTGATTCCTATCATGTTGAAAAATGTTATAAATTTACCGAATTTTCGTTTTGCCGATTTTTGACGGTAACTCAAAAATAGAGTTCGAGAATCCAAGTTCTCGACAAGTTTTATGGTGTAAACGATATGATATAAAATAAAGTTTAATTTTAATTTTCTTCATAAGATACCTTGCTCTGAATCCTGAATAAGAAAAATCTCGTCTGTGTTTAAAGAAATTAAAATATCGTTTTTAATAAAAAACTTCCCTTTATTATGAGAAAATTATTATTATGGTCAAGAGCAATTAAATTTCTCTGCTTTATATAAACGGATATGCAAACCTCTTGGCTAAAATATTGAGTATTTGATATTAAGCTTTCAAAATTATCTCATTAAGTTTGTGTGTTTAAAGGCTAAAATGTGTTTAATTAAAGATTAAATTACATTCCAAGTTCAAGGCTAAATCAATGAAGGCACATAGTTGTTAGTGTTAAAACTGGAGCATACTTTTAGGCAAATCACTTTACATTGCTAATCGATTATTCCCCATTCAATTGCTCGTGTTTTTTTTTTTTTTCTCAACAATAAAAATGCATTTTTTGATGTTTATCACCTATTCTTTATCATTCTCGGTGTGTTAATTCTTAAAATTTCCAAGAAGCAAACTACTTTAAGTATTCTTTGCAATGGAAATGTGTGTCCATGGGTGTAATAGTATATTTCGATTATAATTCATAAATGCTAACAGAATTTTTAATATCTAGCGATAAAATGAGTTGTAAATTAAAAAAAATAAGCTAGCATTCATACATATATTGGTTTCATGTGTATTCTTTAATTTATAAAACAAGAGAAAATAAATAATACAATATAAAAATTTAAATAGATTACAATGGGGTAAAAATGTATGAATTATTTTGAACACGTTTTGACATTTGAAACTATTAATATTACACGAGGCATGTAAATGTCATAAATTTTGAAAATATATGTCAACTGAATTTGAAATTCTTCAATTACTTGCAATGGAAAATGAAAGTAGAAAGTTCAATTGAAGTTTCAAGAAAAAGCCGCCATTAAAATTTAGGTATGGTTTTTCAAATTAAAATGTAAATAAATTCAAAAAATAATTGGAGAAAGGAATTTATTGATGACGGAATTCAGTTAAGTCATATTTAGTAAAAAAAGCACTTTAATAAATAAAAATAAATAAATAAAAACCACTTAAACCTTATCAATTCGTTTACATTATAAAATGTTTGTCAAATTGATTAACCAAAAAGACATATCTTGCAGAAAATAAAATCTCAAATCCAACTCAAACTTCCCAAATTGTTATTAATTTAAAATAGTGGAATCCAATGAGAAAATAGAATATAACGGGTAAAGCATATCAAGTCGTTTACACTATAAAATGTCATTAAATTGAATTCAACAATTTATTTTATGTACAAAATTTTTTCAAAGACCACGTTTTCAATAATTGTTTGTGGACACATATAAATCTTGTGATACATACTAGAAGAGTGGGTGGTAATAAGAAAATATAAATTACTTTATACCAAAAACTAGTTTTTAAAGCAATTTTTCAGAAGACTACTTTTTTGAAAGACTACATCTTAAAATTTTTTCTTTGCGCTCATTGACAATTTCAGCACTATTGGAGATAATATTTCTCACGAAAACGAATATTCGCAGTTGCCTTATAATAACTTATCTTAACTTTATTAATGGTTTCCATTGCATACCATTCATAAATGAGACCTGTTTTTTATTGAACGTTTTATTACAGATTTCCTTTGTTCACATACTCTACTAGAGTATAGTAATAAAGAATGCTTATTGAAATGGAAATAAAAATTCTCAATTCGCTCATATCAATTAACTTTTTGGTATATAATTATGTATCTGCATTCATATGAATGGAAATGTATAGCTTTCTCTATAAAAATGATTATAGCATTCGTTTCTTTTTTTATTGAACGATTTCTTTAGAACTTTTCAATGCAGTATTGAGTGTACTGTGGTCTGTTAGAAAGCTGATATCTTTAAGGAAAAATAGAAATTTCCAATTGCCTCAGAAAATAAAAAATTGACACCAAAAGGATGCTGGCAAACAATAATTCTTCATCATTGCTAAGTCTTATATATCTTAGTCTAAACGTGGCACATCTCCAATATTTATTCTTGTAATTGCCATGACGTCAAAGGAGAAAATATTCAACATTGAATTTCATTGAGTCTCAGAACGAAAAAAAAACTGAAAACATAATATACACCATAAAAAAGACGCCAAAATAAAGGGTATACTATATACAAAAACTCTCTTTGTTGTTATGTGAGAACATATGTTATCGAATCTTGACAAAATCTCCAACAATGTTTGGTGTTAGGACCATGGCATCAAAGAAGAATATGTTCTCCATAAAATTTTACCATAGGTCTCAGAACAAAAGAAATCTGAAAGTAAAAAAAAATAATTAAAAAACGGTAGGAAAAAAAAGATATCTACAACAGCTCTCTTCTTTAGTATTTAGCGTTATATGTTTTCAAATCGTGCAAAATCTCAAGCTAAACTTCGTTTTAGGTTCATAGTACCAAAGAGAAAAATATTCCAAAACGAATTTCACTATAGGTTCCAGAATAAAAGAAATCTGGAAAAGTCCATATTTCAGTAAAAACCATAACATTTAAATAAGTATACTTACATTACATTCACTCCTTAGTGCATATTCTCAAGGGTTGCAAGTTCAGTTAAAATGAGCAACAATGCTTCGTTTTGGTCTCATGGCATACATCTCATATTCTACATCGAATTTTACTATATGTTCCGGAACAAAAGAAATCTAAAAAAATATTATATATATCATTCAAAGATCGATTACAAAAGCGTATATAAAAAATAATGTTCTTTCTTTGGTGCTTAGTCCGATAGGTTATTAAAGTGTGGAAAAATCTCTAAAAATATTAGTTTTATGATATTGGAACCAAAGAGAAAAATATTCTACGACGAATTTCACTATGGGTTCCACAACAAAATAAATATGGAAAAGTCCATACTTTAGTAAAAATGGGTATGCTTACAATAACGTTATGTCTTTAGTGCATAGCCTCATATTTAGCAAATTGAGGCAAAATATGCAATACCATTTCGGTTGATGATCACGGCACCAAAGAGGAAATTATTCTCCATTGAATTTCACTATAAGTCCCCGGCCAAAAGAAATCTGCAAATACAATATATATCAATAAAAATCGTTAACTACTAGTATATCTGCAATAGCATTTTTTCTTTAGTGTTGACTTCTATGCCTTTCAAATTGAGCCAAGATCGCCTATAATGCTTAGTTATAGATTCATGGCATCAAAGGCAAAAATATTATCCATCGAATTTTACTACTGGTCCCAAAACAAAAGAAATCTGAAATTCTAATAAAAATCATTAAAACATCGACAAGAAAAATAATATATCTACAATACATTCCTCCTTAAGTGTTTACTTCCATGCCTTGCAAATTGAGCCAAATTCTGCAACAATGCTTCATTTCCGGTTCATAACACCAAAGGAAAAAATATTCTTCACCGAATTTGACTACTAGTCCCAGAACAAATGAAATCTGAAATTCTAATTAAAATTCATTAAAAATCGGCAACAAAAATAATATATCAACAATATATTCCTACTTTAGTGTTTACTCACGTGTCTTGCGAGTCACGCCAAAATCTGCAACAATGCTGCATTTTAGGTTCATCGAGCCAATAGAAAAAATATTCTCCATCGAATTTGACTACTGGTTCCAGAACAAAAGAAAGCTGAAATTCTAATAAAAATTCTTAAAAAAATCGGAAACAAAAATAATATATTTACAATACATTACTACTTTAGTGTTTACTTCAATGCCTTGCGACTTGGGCCAAAATCTACACAATGCTTCATTTTAGGTTTATCGATCCAAAAGAAAAAATACTCTCCATCGAATTTGACTGCTTGTCCCAGAAAAAAAGAAATCTGAAATTCTAATAAAAATCATTAAAAAACGTTAACAAAAATAATATATCCACAATAATATCCACCTTTAGTATTTACCACCGTGTCTGACTAGTGGAGCCAAAATCTGCAAGAATGCTTAATTTCAGGTTCATGGTGCCAAAGGAAAAAATATTCTCCATCGAATTTTACTACTAGTTCTAGAACAAAAGAAATCTGAAATTGTAATAAAAATCATTAAAAAATCGTTAACAAAAATAATATATCTACAATACCTTCCTCCTTTAGTGTTTACTTCCATGCCTTGCAAGTCGGGCCAAAATCGGCAACAATGCTTCATTTTAGGTTCATGGCGCCAAAGGAAATAATATTTTCCATCAAATTTCACTGAGAGTCCTAGAACAAAAAAAATCTGAAAATAAAATATAAACCATTGAAAAATCAACATCAATTTGGGTGTTTATACAAGAGGTGCAAAGTTGGGTTAATGTTGTATATTTTTTAAACATTGGAAAGAAAACCAAAAATGTCCATTTTTGAAAGGAGATTTCATTGGAAAAAAATTCTTCATCAAATATTAAAAATTGAAAAAAAAGAGCTTCAACAAAATTTCGTTAAAAATTTGGTTTTATTCACCCAAAAATGTATTCCAAGAATGGTCTTTAAGACTTTGTGGTCAGTTTGACTTCAAACTTCTCCAAGAATAAACTCATAATAGGATTTTATGTTTCTTTATTCAAAACCAGTTTTATATATTTTCAAAATTATTATTTTTAAATTTAATTTCCCTTTTTTTCACACCCACCATCATAAAAATTTTATGATTCTGATTTTTTCATTTCCAATAAAAAATGCCAAGCAAAAGAAATTTTTTATTTCTTTCTCTTGGCATATTTTAAATCATAGTCCATAATTTTTATGTACATTGACTTCTTCCGTGGTTTACATATATACACAAGAAAAATTCTAAACAACTTTTTTTTATTAACATTGAATTTGTCGCCAAGAAATAATTTAGAAGAAGAGGAACAGAGACAGACGCAGGCAAGGCATGGTGTCTTGACGTTATGAATTTTAATTACAGGAAGTGATTTCCACGACAAGTAGCGAGTGTGTGTGTGTGGTTAGGGGAACGGGCGAGATGGTTTCAAGCAAGCCAGCCACCATCCCATACAGGTAAATGACCATAAAAAATGGTCATAGAAAAAGTTGGCCTAAAGGAAAATATAACTGTTCGAAATAGATTTAAATTAAAATATGGTTACATAGAGTCATTATTTTTTAGTTGGCTTTTTCATTCATCCATTGTTTTTGTATGTTGTTGTTATTTTTTTGGCACATTTTATGCGGGTTCATCACAAAAGTTAATGAACCCCATCTGTTTTTGTTTTTTGTTTGTTTTTTGGCTACCAACCACAATTACATTAATTATAACACCAAAAGAAAGGGGTCAACGGCCAATTGTTATGTTTAACAAAAATGCCTGTTAATATTTATTATTCTCTTTTTGTTTTATTTTTCTCACCCTCCCCAGGTCAACGTATTACCACCATACACTTGGATGGTGTACAGTACTTCATTAGCCGCATGAATCCCTATTCACCCGAACTCAACTATTTCTTGGCCTATCAATATTGCCGCTCATTGGGTCTGCAATTAGCCTCGTTCGAGACGAAGGAGAAGGCCGAATCAATGACAACATATTTGAAAAATGCCGGCTATGGCAACTATGATTTCTGGACTTCGGGCAATCGTTTGGGCACGGGCATGTTCCTTTGGATGAGCACCGGTTTACCGTTTAATGCCACATTTGATTTCTTCGAAAATACCATTGACTCGATACAGGCTGGTCTTTTGGATCCTGTGGATCATAATAGCAACACATCACCACAGAGAACCGCCAGAGACAGGTAAGTGGAGATGAAGACATTTTTGTTTTCAAGAATATTGAGAAATAAATCAAAATGATTTACCCTAACAAACGCCATCAGTATTTCATATTTTAATTACTATTGATATTTGAAATGCAGATGGCGCTCGTTCCATTTTTACCCTCCACCATAGTATGGAGGGTATATTAACTTTGTCATTCCGTTTGGAACACCTCGTAATATACATTTTAGACCCTACAAAGTATATGTATATATTTTTTTTCAGCATAAAATTCTATGTCGATTTAGCAATGTTCGTCCGTTTATCCGTCTGTGGAAATCACTCTAACTTCCGAACGAAATAAAGTAGGTTGATAAAATTTTACTCAAATGTATATTATGTTTGCTGGAAGTTTGATATTGAAAATGGGTCATGTAGATCCACGTTTTGGTATAGCCCCCTATGACGTTACCTCCCGATATTCAGTATTTTGGTGAATTAAGCGACTTTATTCACAGGAATTGTTTCAAATTTGGTATTTGAAGTTCGTAATGAATACTACAGCCCAAGATAGAAAATTGTGTGTGCAGGTTCACGTCTTCGTGTAGCCCCTATATAACGGTACCTCCCAATATTCGGTGTTTCATATTTTTTATTTGAAGTTCGTAATGGATACTACAGCCTAAGACAGAAAATTGTCTGTGCAGGTCCACGTGTTCGTATAGCCGCCTATATTTCGGAAATTTCATATTTTAAGTTCCAAATAGGTACTACAGCCTAAGACAGAAAATTGTCTGTGCAGGTCCACGTCTTTGTAAAGCCGCCTATATTTCGGAAATTTCATATTTTAAGTTCCCAATAGGTACTACAGCCTGTGACAGAAAATAATCTGTGCAGGTCCACGTCTTCGTATAGCCCCCATATAACGGTACCTATATTCAGTATTTTAATGATTTTAGCTAAATAATTCACCGGATTTTTTTAAGTTCCGTATAGACCCCAATATAACGGCTATATTTGCAAAAGTTCGGCCCGGTCGACCTCACTTTTTTTCTTTTTTCAAACCACATTTTCCACCTACTGTGTATCTTCGATGGTAAAATTTGGCTGTTCGATATTTAAAAATTTAATTCGATTTAAGACGACTAGGCTTAGACGGGCCAAAATCTAAGACAAGTCGACTTTGCTTTAAAAGGCAAAAAACGAAAAATTTTGAGTCAGCTTTCTGCTCTCGAGTTCATTCACGAAAAATAAGGAAACATAAAATGACACGCTCCTGCTTAACCAAGCTTTATAAATTTATCGCCGCCTGAAGTTTAATCGAAAGGTGCAATGGTTGAAAATTAAAGACCCTATGCGGTGGCGGTTAATGTTACCCTCTCTTCGTATTTTCTTGAAATTCTTGAACAATAGTACCTCTTTTGGTTTAATTTAAAATATACAAGTTTATACTCATAAATTGAATGTTGCGCCTTCGCGACTGAGGGACCCATTTGTCGCTCATTTCCTAAATAACCCGGATTTCAAACAGTTCTTTAGTTAAAGTGAAAACTTTGCCGTTGGTTATCTCCAAGTAAATATTAACTCGGCCCATTTATTGTGAAAATTCTATTTTGGTGGATTCTTTTATTTTATTAATTGCCATGAAGCTGACAAGAATAATACTGCCTTAGAAGCCATTATGATGGCTGTGTAGCGTTCGTTATTTTTTCAAACTTCGCTATCCATCCCATGTTTGCCATTGCCTGTAAACTTTGGCAACTCCTATTTCTTACCAAGTACTTTTTTCTGTTCTTCTACATTTCTTTCCAATATATGTTTTTTTTTCTAATTTTAAAATATTTAATTTCTACGATTGCTTAGTTGTTTCTTCTTTAGATCCTCCAATAATGTCCTTGTCTCCTTATTCCAAATAGTTTAAATTGTTTTTGTCCAAAAAAAGCTTTGCTCAAAGCACCTATTTGTTCATGCGATTGTAAATTGCAAATTCAATTTTGCTGTAACTGCTTTGAAGCTGACACGAATAATCCAGCTCAACACGCCATTATGATGCCTGTGTAGTATTCGTTTTTTCAAACTCGGCTATTTTGGTATCCCATGACAGTCATCGCCTGTTAACATTAGCAACGCCTATTTATTAATTACATCTTTCAGCTATTCTACATTTTTCTTCCTTTTTTATTTTAAAAGCTCCAATTTGGGCAACTTTTAAATGTTTTCCTTTTATAACGTTTCCGTTTTTCTGCATTGCTCCATTTATTTGTTTTCTTATTCAGCGTCACTCCAAGAATGCTGGCAATATTTATTTCGGTGTCACAACTAGTACAGGGTTGCATTTAGAGTAACGTAGTTAATTGGTAATCACAATGCTACAATAGGCTTTTCATTACGTATTTTACTAGAAATTTCATTACAATTTTAATAATTTACAATCTTGGGGTATATATTCTATTATTATATTATAATATATATACCATTATCAAATTTATTTTTTTTTTAACTAAATATATTTCCTTAAACTAAATATATTCCTTTTTGATTTCTTTCACTCTTCCCCCAACAGCAGCAGCGGCGCCGAAAAAGGCTGTGTCATCTTGAAACAGCCCACCTTGAAATGGATGCCCGAAGATTGTTCAGCTGTCAAGGATTTCATTTGTGAACAGACACGTTGCTATTATTACAATTATGGCAGTATTCCCGTATCATCGGCGCAGGGGTAAGAAGAGCCCTACTACTTGCTAACTCGAACCAAGTATAGGAGTTACTCTCTGTCTATAAATTAAAAAAAAAAAATACAACAACAACAAACAAAAAAATTCAATCAAAAACAAAACGAAAAAACTTACAAAAATCTTCCTTTCGCAAACAACAAAAACTCTAGACTGTAAAATGTTAATTTAAGCCTTAACCTTATAAAAATAATAATAAAGAATCAAAACAAACAAATCTGCTCCTCTATGGATTAAAAAAAAAAAATAAAGAAAGAATGAAAAAACAGAAAATCTGAAACGCCGTGTCACGCTAAACTTATTTTAGGTGAGCTAAACCCCAAGTCATACAAACAAACAACAAAAAAATAACACAAATTATATACAACTATTTATAAGGATATATGCTTCTATTTTCCCCCATGCCGGCCAACCACACCATGCTATTAATAACAATCTGCTATAGAAAAATAAGGATTAACAACTAATAACGGCTTCTCCTATTATTCCCAGATAGGCTAGAATTTCTAACAGATCTTGAGGCAGAAACAGAATTGTCGCTGCTTGCCAAATTAGAAAAAAAGGCGTTCCACTGTCGCTCTTATACTTTGACATTGCTTCATTTTGGCAGTTTGGGATCCAAGCACAGAAAATATTATTAAAAAACCGATTTTTTGTACCCATAATATTGCATGTGCTTAACTCTCAAACGGCTAAAGCAAGCCTAGCAACAAGCCCCCATTGTGTTTCTGCTTTTTCTGCCTCATTTTTATCAAAATAATGGAAATTATTCCTCCCAACTACTAACCCTAAATTAATCTGCTTGTCTCCCTCTCTCGCTCTCTCTTGCGTCTTGTAATCTCAGAATGTGGTGAATTGGGGCTTAGCTTTTCCTAAAACAAAGTAGTTTACATTTAAAGTAGTTTATTCAAAATATTGTTTTCAATTTTATTCAAGCCATTGAAGAGCATAAAACTAACCAAGTTATCTTTCCTTTTCTCTCTACTTTTTTTCTTTGCTTACGCCCAGACGCCCCATCACCACAACCACACCACGCACCAACATTGCCGATTCGGTACAAAGTGAAACCAAAATTAACACCACTCCCTTGCCCCTGTTGATGTCATCGTATGCCGCGAGCAAAAAATCGAATCAACCCTCCTATGTGTCCCTGAAACTTGATCAAGAGAGAGCGTTAGAGTCAAGCCTCGAAAAGGATAACAGCCATCCGGAGCAACAGCAATCTGCCTCCTACGAAAATGAACACGACGACACCGAAGAAACCGAACATGATGGAGAAGTGGTGGATGAAGAGGAGACGGAGGATGGAAGCAACAGTGCTGGTGCTGATGAATCGGCTCAAGGACGTGACCTGGCCAATGAGGAAGCCGATCATGAACTGGAAGAAGTCAGTGGCCAACAAAGCCAAGAATCTTCGGGAGAGCAACATGATGATGATCATGAGGATAGTCACGATCAAGAGTTGGAGGAAGACAAATCGGAGGCTCAACACGATGACAGCAGTGACAAGCATCCCCTTTCCCATGAACAAGAAGAAGAAGCCGCAGCCATTATCAATTCCGTTGCCTCAAAGGAGAAATCTGGCGAGCTATATGAAACCGAAAGCCATGACAATGAAATGCCCGGTGTTGAGGTGCGTTTGAAGCAAATCTCCCAAGAAGTTGAGAAACGGGCCAGTGAGGAAAATCGCCACATTCCCTCCTTGACACCAGATCTTGATGATATTGGCCATCAATCATTCCTCTCCTTGACCGATCTCATACGCACCTTGCGTCCCAATGATAAGCAGATTATACCACAAATCGATTCGGATTATTCCAATGCCATGCGCGTCCTCGGCGAGAAATCAGTGGTTGTCAGTAACTCGAATGGCAATAACAATGAATAATTCCAAAAACCCTCACACCCTTCCAGGAATTTCTCCCAAACACACAACTCCCCTCCCCCACTCCCCGCATCACTAACCAAACACAAGTTTTAGTTTTTTAAGCAGAAAATCTCTTCACACAGAACAGACAGAGTTGTATTCCATTGCAAAAGAAAGCCAACAACAACAACAGAAAACCGTTTCCTTAATCACAACGCCAAGGTTCCATTGAAAACTGTGGGGAATATATTATTTTCCTTAATACACACAAAATAGTATTTCCATTTAATGGGTTTGGTCTTGTTGTAATCCCTGATTCCCTCCCCATTTCAACATAACCTCAAAACAACAAGCCATGATCCATTGAAATAAACACTTCTCTTTGGGACCTTGGAAATGTGTATAATAATTAAATATGGGGCCTAAATATTTGGAAATAACGACACAAAACCAACCCACAACAACAACAACAAACGAATGCAAATTAATTTTAAGTTAAGTTAAACAAAAACACACAAAAAATTGAATGAAAATAAAACAACGATTCGATTGTAGTTTTAATAAAAATGTATTTGATATGGAAAATCCTATGTTATAAGTCTTGTCTAAATGTAATTTTTTCAAAAGCGAATTATCAAATAAAGCAGAAAGTTTCTTTATGCGAATAAAATTAAAAAAAAAAAAACAAACGATGGGTTTTATTTATTTTAACCTCAAATTCAAATCGGATAAGAAACGGACAGTTTTTTTTTTAATCCAATGGGGCTAATTTGATGTAAGCTCCGCTGATTGCTTTCTGAGGCGTCCACACTTTGGGGATAATGAGAAGCGACGAGGCAATATTTCGTCATTATTAAAATAAACAAACCTCTGATCGCCACAAAAAGAGGACCTCCTAATACTGGGATGTTTTGAGACCAGGTGCCATCAGTGTTACGGGTTTGCTGTATTCTAACGGTTAAAATGCAACTCTGATTTCATAAAAATTGTCTTGTGTAAAAACCATGTTAGTGGGGGATGAATTTTAGGTTAAAGCATGGCAGAAGAATACAGGTAGATGCATCAACGCTTGGGAGCATTGATATGTCAAAAAAATTTAAATGTTTTTTCAAATATAAGTAGAATTTTTTCTTATACTACGTCATTTGGAGGCTTCGCGTTTTTCGACAATTTTTACAAATTTAAATAACTTTTCATTCAACATTTTCAATTCCAAAATTGGTTTGACAGTTCATTGTCCCAGCAGCTGTGTCGACGCGTCTACCTATATTCTTCTACCATGGGTTAAAGTAATACTCCCACACCTAAAATTCCAACATTTCATAATTTTTAATTTTTTGGAAATTAAGACCAGACATTGTAACACCAGTAGATTCTTGCAGGTTCTGTAACAGATCAGTTTTTGCGTTTTAGGATGAAAAACAGGTATTTTTGGCTTTTATGCCTTTGGCAACACTGGTCTAAACAACTCACGCACACTTAGTTTTTTGTTTCACTGTCAAACATCTTCAATTTGGCCTTTAGATTAAAACGAACGCAAACGAACAACGCTAGCAAATAATTGAATTTTATCATAAAAATGCGTGCTTTGTTAAGAAAGTTAAACGCGAGCTTCTTCCATTTTGCAATGAAGCTCATATTTGGCTCAATGGGTACGTTAATAAGCAGAATTTTCGATTTTGGAGTGAATATCAATCAGAAGCATTGCAAAAGCAGTCAATGTATTTAGAAAACGTAACAGTCTATTACGGTTTGTGGGCTAGTTTCATCATTGAACCTTACTTCTTTAATGGCGAATGTCAACATTCGTGGACATTAATATGTCAACATTTTCAAAATGTTTGTTCATAATATTAGTTAATTATTATTGTTCTGTTCCAGGACTGCAAGAATGTAAAAGTTTTTATTTCGATAACAGATTTTCCCTTTATGATATCGGAGAAATTTGCAAAACTAGTAGATTCTTATAGGTTCGGAGCAGACCATATATGTGTTCTAATAAAAAAAAAAAACCTTTTCTATTGTTCTTAAATCACCATTTAGAAAAAGAGCTTCTATGTAAACATATACATATAAACTATCAACGATTACTCGGTTATTCACCAACTACACTACATTTCTTCAAAGTCTATCTATGTTTTCCTACCTTTCCACTTTTCGACCTATTCACCCTAACTTTTTTGTAAACATTCATCTTCCACATTTGAATAGGCCAAAGTCGATCTACAAGCCCCTTTTCTGCAGTAAATTTATTTAAAAGAACAACATGGTCCGTAAACTTAAATATCATGAACAAAAACTTCTGAAAAAGGTTGATTTTATTACCTGGAAAGTTGATAATGAAGGCAAGGAGAATGCGGTGCTGAGACGTTATCACATACGCAAACGTGAGGACTATACAAAGTAAGTGAACTTTTTAAATGCCTAAATGTAACAAGTGGACTCATGTTCTTTCCTCCCACCTATTTACAGATACAACAAATTGTCACGCAATGTCCGCGATTTGGTCGAGAAAATAGCCAAATTGGAAAAACACGATTCCTTTAAAGCAGAGGCCTCATTTCTGTTGCTCGAAAAGCTATATGCCATGGGTTTGATCAATGAAAAACATGATTTGGAAGTGGCCAGTCGGGTGTCGGCTAGTTGTTTTTGTAGGCGTCGTTTGCCAGTGGTGATGGTTAAGAGTAAGTTTGGAAAGCTCTCTTTCCAGTCAATCTTTATTCATTTTTCTTTTTGTGTTTGCAGATAAACTTTCACAAAGCATTAAAAATGCCACAGATCTAATTGAGGCCGGCCATGTCCGTGTAGGCACTGAAATGGTCAAAGATCCCGCCTTTTTGGTTTCTCGCAATCTGGAAGACTTTGTCACCTGGGTCGACGGTTCCAAGATTAAGGAACATGTTTTGTCATACAATGATATGCGTGATGATTTTCAATTTTAGGATTACGGTTTTTTGTATGTTATAGGCTAATAGTTAATAAAGAAAAAAACATTTAGAATATTTTCAAGGTTTTAATTTTATAGGGGAACGAAAAGGCTTTATCTACTTAGAAGATATATATAAAGTTACAAATATTTGGATTTTAAAGAGGAGTTATGAATAATCTAACTATATAGGGGCCCTAATATTCCATGTAAATATGTATCCAGAGAGGTTGCAATTGGGAAACATCCGGCAAGGCAATTTTAAATATTGGAAAAACAAAAAACTCAATCTATGAGGGCCAAAACAACCCAGGAACTCAGAAATTATTGCTAACAAACCTCAAGTTTGAAAATGGGGGTGAACTAAACTAGCCTTGAGAGAGTTGCCGCTTTAGTCCATACGTTGTATAAGTGACCGGAAAAGTACGAAGATATAAGACCAATCACTAACCTTAAAAGGCACCCGAAACTTTAATTGAAAATCTGAAAACTATTAAAAATGTCGAATCTGAAGTTCAAAATAAGTTTTGGGAAGACGTGAGAGAACTGCAGATAGATAGGATTCCGAAAAAGTAATTTACTCTTAATGCATCAATACTTTTAAAGGTTTGGAACATCGTGTCTAACAGGAAGGGAGTCTTCAGTTAGATCTTAACTTTGCTCTGAAATATAAAATGTAGAGTTTTGGTCCTCCTCTGGTACATAACTCCCAGGGCAATTTGTCTATTTTTAAAAAAAGCACACGAAGTTCGTATTTTGGCCAACGTTAGCTCAACTAATAAATTTTTCAAATATACATTATATTCAAGGCATTTACATTGTATTCAATCATTGGATGTTTATGAATTCGTGCGGACTCCCAATTGATAGGATGTCAACAAACTTACTTAGGGTCAATGCGTGGAACATTTATAAATATCATGTCTAACCAGAAGGGAGTCCTCAGTTCGGACGTTACTATGCTCTGAAATATCAAAAATGGAGTTTTAGTTTCCTACTGGTACATATGTACCTCCCTGGGCAAGGGTTCAACAAACGTTAATAAAAAAGTAATAAAAAAAATAAATAAAACAAAAAAGTCCAACCTCAAGTTCAAAAATATGTTCGATACGGCTGCAGAGGACTCCCAATTAATAGGAATCCCACAAACTCTCCCTTTGTCAAAGGGTCAATATTTTTAAGACTTTGGTCTAAACTTCGCTCTGAAATAGAAACTAAGGAGTTTTGGTTCCCTTCTTCCTTAACAAAGAAGTCCCTGATTTCCACATTTAATATTTTTTTTACTGAATGTTCAAGATATGATATTCCGTAACTACCCAACACTTTTTGATATCTCCCACAAAAGTGAGGTTATGAAGGATTTTTTTCTTAAAAAGTCGAGAAGAAAACACTGAATTATGTTTTTTTTTAAACAAGACTTGTTTTAATATGGTTTTATTTGAAATACAAAATATTTTTCGTTTTTGTTTGTTTTGTTGTTTTAATAATAGTAATAATAAAGTACATATGTGTGGAATTCCTCATTCTTTTTTATGTATTTTTGTTTGTTAAATATTTCTTCGTCTTCTCTTTTTTTGTTTTAGTAGAGGGTGGTGTGTTGGTATTCTGTGTGAGTGGTGTGTTGGTATTAAATAAATTCAGAAAACATTTTATATATAAAAAAATTATAAATGAATTAAAAAAATATTTTTTTTTTGAAACTGACTTGACGCGGCACAAAAAACCATTGTGAATATATGGGTGTGTGAGTGTTTTTATATAACTGTGTGTGTGTGTGAAAACGATTTTGTTTTTTTTCTTGTTTCTTGTTTTTGAGATGAATTAGTTTCCTTTTTTTATATCTGCTATATTATTGTTGTTTGTTAGACTTATGTTAATGGATCATGATCATGATTGCTTGACAATGACTATTTATATAAAGATAGCTACGTTGCTGTTGGAAGTTTGGGGTTGGATTGGATTTTGACCAGACTTCCCTAACTGTTTGGAAGTTAGTATGCCATTTGGGTAAGGAGATTAATATCGAGAAAAACAAAAGGGAGTGGTAAAAAAAATTAAAGATTCTGTAGCAAAACACAAAAAAAAACAATTGAGGTTGGCTAGACGTAATGAATGAAATGATTCAGACTAAAAAAGTTATAGATTATTTGTTTAAAAACTATTTAATTAATTTATAATTATATAAGGTTATGTGTTTTTTTTCTTGTTATCTTTGTTTCTTCCTTTTCTTCTTCATCGAGGGATTTAACGAATTAATAATATAAGTAATACATATTTATATATATATTTATTTTTTTGTTTGTTTGTAAATTTATTTTTATATGCATTTTCAGCATAAAATATTAGAGTATAATTATATAATAGAATTATAAGAAGGGTGAGGTGAGGGGAGAGTGGGGTGGAGAGAGTGGGGTTTTTGACTTTTCATTTATATTTGTTGTTTTGTTTCATACTTATTTCTTTCTTTCGTTCTGTTGCATTATTTTTTGCGTTAATATTCCTTAGAGTGTTGAAATAGTTTTTCTTTTTCTTTTTCGTTTTTTACAGTTTTTTTTTTTCACTTCAATTTACTTTGTTGTTATTTACTTTTGTTTTATATATTTATATGTATATATTATTAGTTGTTTAATATATATAGTAAATATTTGATCTTTTTTCATCAATACTTAAGTTTTAGATTTGATGATGGATTTTGTGGAGATTTTTAATAGAGGGGTGGTGGGTGGTGGACTGGAGACAAAGGGAGGGGTTACAAAAAATCAAACGGCTAATAATTATTAAATAAATATTAACACAAGATTATCAAGGCTGAGGTTTCGGTAATTTCCATTCTTGGGAAACAAAATGTTTAAGGATTTTCGGATTACATATCTCAATTATCCAAGTTTCCAAGAAAACCTTAAAATTATTCTACGTTCCCCTAGGAAATTCCCCAAACCTAGTCCTCCAGAGAATACATTTCGTAAAAGGCGGGGGGCATTAGTTTTTGTTTTAATTTTTGGTAGTAGTTAAGACTGTGTGTTTTTTTGTTTTGTGTTCTAGTAGTTGTTGTTAAATACATTCAATGCTGTCACACCTATTAGCAAGCATAGAATATTCTTATAAATTGTATAGATGCTGGGGTTGGTTTTTTTCCTTCTAGTTTTGTTTTTTTTTTGCAGCAGCAGATGAAAGATGGGCCAATATTTGTAGTTGGGGCGCAAACGGGAAATAATGATATTCTTCCAATATTCTGTCTACATTTGTTTTCTTTTGTTGTTTATATAACCAAAGCCATGTCTTTTTTACTGGGTAGATTAACTTTTTTGCCCTGCCACAGGGAATTGTGTATGGTAAAAGCATCAATGGTGACGGTTAAATGTTTTGTATGGACCTGGGAGAAACATTTTCCGCCAGAGTTATACCTACAAACAAAATGAGAAATTTAATATTAATTTCTTTAAATTATTTTCTACATCACCCCTCAAAACTTACTTAAAGAACTTATCAAACATAACTTCATCCACTTGACTAGGTCCTGTACCATACAGCTTGACAACCTGTTCCGTTTCGGGTGTATAGCTGTACAATGCCCGAAATTGACAGCCGGCATCACGAAACAGTATTAGGAAATGTTTGGCCTCCGAACGGGCAATTTTCTCTAGAACTTTTTGTTTGGCATCACGATTCACCGCTCCGGGGAACACACAATATTCGACGGCATTTAAAATGATGCCACGATTCGATTTGGCAGCTGGTTGTTTGTACAACTTCGGTCCTATAGGTTTTTTTGTTAGAGAAAATGGTCGTAAAATAAAAAACAAATTATTAATAATTAGGAATAGTTAATTAAAAAAAATCAAATTAAGATTTTTGTTCTTCAAATGCTTGCCAAGTAAATTGCCGTAATGGAAAAGGTGCTGGATATTTTTACAAATTTTATGTTTTATTGGAAGTTTATAGGGAGTGGTTTGCGAGTGTAAAACTTGCTTAAAAAGAATACAATTTAATTTTTTTTTTATACATTTTCAAAAAATGTTTTTTTAAATTTTTCAACCGGTGCATCATTAACCTGCTGCATTTTTTTTACAAATTTTATGTTTTATTGAAAGCTTATAGGGAGTGGGCTGCGAGTGCAAAAAACTTGCTTAAAAAGAATAAATTTAATTTAATTTTTTATACATTTTCAAATCATTCTATTGCACTTTTTGAACTGGGGCCTCATTAACCATTAAATATTTCGTAAATTTAAACCGGAACTAAAAACCCATATGGGTTGTGATTTTGTTTTGTATTGCACCAACCGAGTCCAATTAAAATAGCCATCGAAGCCCAAAGTGCGTATATGAACAAAAAAATCTTCAAAGGACACATAATGGATCATATGTAACATTCGAATAAGATAGAAGAGAGAGAGAGAGAGAGAGAGAGAGAGAGAGAGAGAGAGAAGAAACCTAAAACCATCATATAGAATGAATATGAAAAATAGTCGAGGTCCGATTATTTACCTCTACCAACTTGGTAATGTTAACTTGTACTTGATCAATGCTGGTAGTTCTCTTTTATATTCTTGTGACTTAATTCTATCGTGGAAGGAAGTAGGACCGTAAAAAATTGTACGGAGGGATTACTAAATGGGCCTTCAATCTACAAGCAAGCTGGGAGCTCAGGAATGTACGAAATCAAGAAAGCTTCTCGAGGACTCTAACTTAAAAAAAGACCTAGAAATAAATGAAGTTTTATTCCCTTGGGAAACGAATGAGAGAAATTACGGAAGGAATGGTTGAAAAGCCCAAAATCATAGGGAAGGATGACCTGTAGGCAACTGGCTGACAATCAGTTAAGACGTTATATGAATGAGGGGCCTAGTTGCACTTCGAGCTGGGGTGTCTCGGGTCAAATGCTATTTGACCGACAATTCACATCCTTGAAAGGACACTAATTTTTTTTGATGAGAAATTCATTGGACGACTTTTTAAAGGAAAGTCAGCATTGTCAATGTGTAACAATCAGGAGCATACGGAAAAGTTATTTTTATAATTTCGAAATCGAAGGTGGTCTATGTTCGGTCTATGATTCTTTAACCATATTTTGAATATTATTTTAGTAGTTCTCGGTTTTTCTACAAATATTTCATTGAAATGATATAGATTTTTAGTCTATGTATCAGTTAAGACGTTATATGAATAAGGGGCCGAGTTGCACTTGGAGCTGGGTTGTCCCGGGTCAAATGCAATTTTGGTGAAGCAGCTGACAACACACATCCTTGAAAAGACACCAATTTTTTGATGAGAAACTCATTGGACGACTTTGTAAAGGAAAGTCAGCTTTGTCAATGAGTACCAAACCAGGAGCATACGCAAAAGGATTTTTTTTTTTAATTTCGGAACCGAAGTTGGTCTATGTTCTGTCTATGATTCTTTAACCATATTTTGAATATTATTTTAGAAGTTGTCGGTTTTTCTACCAATATTTTTTTTGAAATGATATAGATTTTTAGTCTATGTCTGGCTGACAATCAGTTAAGACGTTATATGAATGAGGGGCCGATGGGGACTTCGAGCTGGGGTGGCTCGAGTCAAATGCAATTTTGGTGAAGCAGCCGACAACCCACATCCTTGAAAGGACACCAATTTTTGATGAGAAACTCATTGGACGCATTTGTAAAGGGAATTCAGCTTTGTCAATGAGTACCAACCAACCAGTGACATACGGAAAAGTTATTTTTTTTAATTTCGAAACCGAAGGTGGTCTATGTTCCGTCTATAATACTTTACCCATATTTTGAATATTATTTTAGAAGTTGTCGGTTTTTCTACCAATATTTTTTTTTTTTTGAAATGATATAGATTTTTAGTCTATGTCTGGCTGACAGTCAGTTAAGACGTTATATGAATGAGGGGCCGAGTTGGACCTCGAGCTGGGGTGGCTCGGGTCAAATGGTATTTTGGTGAAGCAGCAAACAACCCACATCCTTGAAAGGACACTTATATTTTTGGGGAGAAACTCATTGGACGACTTTGTAAAGGGCGGTATTCTGGAATATTTCGCATAATATGAATCCATTTATACCGAGAGGCGAATGTTCCCCAGGACCAGAACTCTCGCTCGAAGTCAGCTTTGTCAATGCGTATCAACCAGAAGTAAACGGAAAAGTTAATTTTTGAATTTCAAAAACCGAAGGTGGTCTGTGTTCAATATTTTGAACATCATTTTAGTATTTGTGGATTTTTCTACCAATATCTCTTTGAAATGATACAGATTTTTAGTCTTTGTAATTGGGCTATTGTTGGTCTCTGGATCTAAACTGAATCCATTCAATTCCACTTGGAATTTTCCACAATCCATACTGGCTTTTTCACAGTGAAATTATTAAAAAAAATTGCAGTGAATTCGAAAAAATAAAATTTTTCGAGAATAAAAAATTTTTTCTTGCTGATTATTTTTATGGTACATATTGAATATACCAATTTCTTTTGTTCAGAAACTCACATTGAAATTTGATCTAGAATATTTCCTCCTTTGATACTGTTCCCAAAAAATGAAATATTATGGGATATTTGACATAGAACGGACACGTGTTAAATTAGAGGTAAAACGAATAAACACATAATTTTCACATGTTATATACAAATTTCGAATGTAATTTTCTTAATAACTATCAAACCTAGATGTATGATTTATTCTGAAATTTATAGTGAAATGTTGTGCAGAATATATTATCCTTTGACACTTTCTGTCTATAACGAACTTTTATGCTACTTTCACGCATAAACTCGAGAAAAGGTCGAGGAACAATTTTTGAAAATATTAGGAAATAGTTTCGCTTTTTTATGGAAATATTTTTTGATATACAATGAAAATAGAGATTTGTTTTCTTTTATTCTGAGATTTATAACTATTGTGCAGAATATTTCTTGCTTTGACACTGTATGTCTGAAGCGAAATTTTATGCTTCTTTCATGCATAAACATAAACTGCATAATTAGGAAATAGTTTCGATTTTTTTTGGCAACATTGATGGAAGTATTTTTTTTGATTTATGATGGAAATAGAGATTTGTTGTCTTTTGCGACTTATAGTGAAATTTGACGGAGAATAATTTTGTCTTTGACATCATTCTTTTATAATGAGGTTTTATAGGAGAATTTTGCCTAAACTCGCATAAGGTACGGCTTTAACCCAAAAATGTATTTTTATAACATATTTAAATTCCTGACGTTTAGGTAAGATTTATGCTTTTGAAGTTTTCTGGGACCAATAGTAGAATTTTATGACACATAAATTTCTGGTATAGTTTGACTTGCTACGACCCCGTTTAAAGGGAGTTTTTAGCCATATTTGGAAAAAAGGACCAAAAAGGCCCCTTTCGTGACTCGATTGAGGGTTAAAATTGTGAACGAAAATAATCCTTGTAGTTATATCTGCAATATTGCCGATGACACTATATACCTAAAATAAACGGATTCGGAGGAATCTTAATCCGAAAATTAAAAAAAAAAAAAAAAAAAAAATGTGAAAGGGAGGAAAACCTTTCCCCTTTTGTTTAGGTTACTTTGCGATTTAAACTTTCAAAATGCCGATAGACATTTCATCATTTTTTAGCTCTACTTTCATAAACTTTTTTCTATAATTATTGAAAAAATGTAGTTTTTTGCACTGTGTTATTATTAAATTTATATCCCTTTAGTCCAAAGAGAAACTGATATTTTGATGTATGAATCTACAGATATAAGAATATTAGGTTTGAATTAAGTTTTTAGTAAGGGTTTTGAAACATTTTCCAACTTTTTTTTAAAAAAAGTATTTAATATAATCTGTGAAAATCAATTAAGTTTCTTTGTAGGCATGACGATATGTACACTTAAATTAACATTTTCCAAAGAGAAAATTTAAAATTTCGTTTTTTTTTTAATTTTTTTTTTACCCAAAAATTCCCAATATTTTCTTCCTTCTCATAACAGCGATGTACTTGGCAAACATTTTCTTAAAATTAATAAAATATATAAAAAAATTTGTTATGGTTAGGGTGTGTGGTTGCAAATCATCAAACTCAAAGAACACATTACAATTATCAAATAACAAGCAATAACAAACAATTCAAATTCAATACAAAACCAAACTATTTGACTAAAATAAATAATAGAAAAAAATAATATTCCATTAAAAAAATAACAATTAAAATAATGAAATTAAAAAAAGAAATAACAAACATAACATGACAAGAGAGTGCTAAGGTTAGGTTTTGGCTAACCTTAACAATCCCAACATGACATATGGTCACAAACAAAACATCACTGAGGACAGGGCAGGCAAGGCACTTTGTTAGGGGGCACTTGTTTACAAACTAAAGCAGGCGAGCGGGCCATTACAGATTTACAATAAATATACTATGCTATTAGTAGTGGTTCTTGTTTAACCAAAGAAAATAGTTGTTTTTTTTGCCGGCGAATTAAAAGATAGTAGTTGAATGGTATTATCTCAACTAAAATTAGATTTTTATAACTACGACTACGAAGACTTATAGTCCCTCAGGAATGAAGGATCTAATTCTCCCCCCAAATTATCTAATTTTTCCTTTTTGGGCTTTGGAACATCAAACTTAAAATAGAAGTCGTCTTAGGATGATTACAGGAAATATTAAAAATAATAATAAAATAATAATAAAAAATCTTTGGTAATAAAAATTTGAAAATTTTAAAAATAAATAAATAAATATAAAAACAAATTAAAAAACAGTAAGTTCGGCCGGGCCGAACTTTGAATACCCTCCACCATTTGGAACGAATTTGGAAATTTTCAAAAAATAAAATCCGTTAAAAATTCTATTAAAATCTTAAAAATACCGAATATAGCCGTTATATTGGGGTCTATACGAGGTGGGCCTAAATAGGCTTTGTTTATCATAAGCCATTGCCATATTCAAATTCGAAACTTGAAGTAAACGGTGAATAATGTAACTAAAATCATCAAAATATCGTACATTGGGAGGTCCCGTTACATCGGAGTTATATAAAGACCTGGACTTGCATAGACTACTTTCCGTTACAGCCTGTAGTATCCATTACGAACTTTTAATACGACATCTCAAACAATTTCGGTGAGTATTGTACCTAAAATCGTCAAAATACCGAATATGGAGAGGTACTGATATATGGGGCCTATACGAGGACGTGGAACTGCATACAAAAATGTTTGTCATAGGCGGTAGCACCCATTATGAACTTCAAATACGAAATTTGAAATAATTCCAGTAAATAATCTCGCTAAAATCATGAAACTACCGAATATCGGGAGGTACCGTTACATAGGGACTATATGAAGACGTGGGCCTTTATACGAAATTTTTTGCCATAGCTTGTAGTAACGATTAAAATCTCCCAATACTAATTTTGAAACGATTCCGGTGAATAATTTTGCCGAAATCATCAAAATATCGAATATCGGGAGGTAACGTTGTATGGGGGTTATACGAAGACGTGGTCCCGCAAACAAAAAATGTTGTCATAGGCGGTAGCACCCATTACGAATTTCAAATACGAAATTTGAAATAATTCCGGTATATAATGTCGCTAAAATCATGAAACTACCGAATATCGGGAGGTACCGTTATATGGGGGCTATACGAAGACGTGGACCTGCACAGACAATTTTCTGGCATAGGCTGTAGTATCCATTTCGAACTTCAAATACCAAATTTGAAACAATTCCGGTAAATAATCTCGCTAAAACCGTGAAAATGCCGAATATCGGGAGGTATCGTTATATAGGGGCTATATGAAGACGTGGACCTTTATACGAAATTCTTTGCCATAGCTTGTAGTAACGATTAAGATCTCCCAATACGAATTTTGAAAAGATTCAGGTGAATAATTTTGCTGAAATCATCAAAATACCGAATATAGGGAGCTACAGTTTAATGGGGGTTATACGAAGACGTGGACCTGCACAGACAATTTTCTGTCAAAGGCTGTAGTATCCATTACGAACTTCAAATACCAAATTTGAAACAATTCCGTTGAATAATGTCGCTTAAATAATTAAAATACCGAATATCGGGAGGTACCGTTACATGGGGGCGATACCAAAAGATGGACCTACATGGCCCATTTTCAATACCAAAAGTCCTGCAGACATAACATACATTTGAGTAAAAATTTATCTGCTTGAATTCGTTCGGAAGATAGAGTGATTTCCACAGACAGACAAACATCGCTAGAATTTTACGCTGATCCAGAATATATATACTTTGATCTTACATGAGTATTTCGAGGAGTTACAAACGGAATAACAAAGTAGATATACCCTCTATAGTATGGTAAAGGGTATAATAATAGATTTTTAATAACAAAAGAAATGCTTAAAATTAATTAAAAAAATTGATTTTTAGAAATGCTTAGGATAAAGTAAAAATATGATTTCCTATTAATATAAAATATAAGAAATAATAGATTTTAAATGATAAAAAATGTTTAAAAATAATTACATTATGTTTTTTTGTAATAAAATAAAAATAATAAAACTAATTAAACAACAACATAATCATAATATGAAATGTGTTCTGTTATGGAACATGATGACTGTTTAATTATTTATTTTTTTTGAAAATTTAAATAATAAAAAAAATTTGTGAAGAAAATGAGTTTTGAGATAATTTTGTCATACGAACCCGAATAGTCCATCATTAAATTGCCCGTCGATGACATATCGCTAGATCCATCATCCATCATGCCACGTCGTTTGGTCATAAAGCCCGGCAATGAGCCAGGACCTGAGGGTGAAGGCATATGTCTATGTAGTGTGGTAATACCGGGCGATTGGGCTCGACGTGGTGGCGTGGCTCTTCCTATGCCAGAATCTAATTTTTGGTATTCCAAGTGCCAATGTCAGACACATACACACGCACACACAAATGGGTGAGGATAATGGATCACACAACACATAACAACCCATTGTCAATGCAATTCAAATCAATGATGATGGTGATGATGGATGGTCACAACAACAGCGGGCACACACAATCAAGGCAAGGATTTCGTTATATATATATTTTTTTTTGATTCGGTTCAAAACGATGATGATCACATAAATGGAGAATGGCAAACGAGTTATAAAAAATATGCGGTTGAATGTTGTTGAGGTTGAGTGGTTGGTGGTTGGTGTTGTATAAAACATGTTTGATATTTTTGATTTGTTTTTTTATAAAGTAAAGTTTTTTCAATTCGTAAAGCATTTTTTGGAATTGATTCGATTCGAAAAAAAGAAAGTAAATAAAATATATGGAAATTAGTTTTGACTGTCATAGTTATCAAAAAAAGAAAAAGAGGTTAATTATGGTATTACGATAGATGTAGATTATTTATATATGGAGTACCAACAAAAAAAAAAAGAGGAACAAAAAAGAATTCTAAACAAAAATGAAATTACAAAAAAAATATATATACCCGGACCAAAGAAAATGAAAATCAACAAAATGACAATTGTTGGTGTTTTTTTTATATAGGCGAAGTGAAGTGATTCGGGGGGAGGTAAGGATGTGAAAAAAATTGTAAGTCAAAGTGAACAAATAGAGTACAAAGACACATTTTGAAGACAAAAAATTGAGTGATAGCTTAAAAAAAGGGCATCGTTGGGGGTCTTTTATATAAAAATCGGATAGATTGAGCATATTTTAAAAATCAAGGAAAATCCTTTGTCTGCAAGAAATTTATGATAATCCGGCCATTTGGTTCATTTCGGACAAGTTAACAGAATAAGTGGATCTTGATAAAGTGTGAGATGTTCCAGTTCCAAACAAAGTCTTTAAGCATGAACTTGAGAGAGAATACATAGAACAAGTTTTTTATTGGCTAATGTCGTCGGCTGGCATCTTCACAAAAAAAAAGAAAGGAGCGTAGGGTGTACAAGTACACATTATGGGCCGAAATTTCACTAAGTCCACCTAAAACTCTTTTGTTCTTTTACAAAGAATCCAGCCGACGACCTAAGCCATTCAAAAAAACCTTTTTATGTATTCTCACCTTCAGACTGACAAAAAGTGTTACATGTCGATTCACTCAATTCAGTTTTAAAGACTTTTGGGTTATATAATTTTCAAAACAAAAAGTCTTGGACAATTAAGGTCGTGGATTTTTTTTAAATGTCTTTAAATGCTTTTAGAAGGTTTTTTTTAAATTTCCAACTACTATTTCCTCGGACAGGGTAATATACAAATTCTAAATTTTCTAAATATATTTTTAAGGACTTCCTGGAGCAGCATATTATGAAAGTAGAGCTAAATAATGTAGCTAAAATCATAAAAATGCCCAATATAGGGAGGTACCATTATATCGGGGCTATAGGAAGACCTCGACCTGCATAGACATTTTCCTGTCAAAGGCTGTAGTACATATTAGGAACTTCAAACATCAAATTTGAAACATTTTCAGTGTAAATTGTACCTAAAAATCGTCTAAATACGGAATATGGGGAGGTACTGATAAATGGCGGATATACGAAAACCTGTACCTGCACAGACAATTTTCTGGCATAGGCTGTAGTTCCCATTACGAACACTAAATACAAAATTCGAAACAACTCCGGTTAATAATGTCGCTAAAATCATTAATATACCGAATATTGGGAGGTACCGTTATATGGAGGCTATACGAAGATGTGGGCCCGCATACGCAATTTTTTGTCATAGGCTGTAGTACCCATTACGAATCCGAAATACAAAATTCGGAACAACATGCCGCTGAATAATGTCCCTAAAATCGTCAAAATATCGAATATCGGGGGGTACCGTTTAAGGCACACCTTTTGTGTATTTTCAGATAATTTCATTGAAAAATCTGGCTACAATCATCAAAATACCGAATATCGGGAGGTATCCTTATATGGGGGCGCTACGATATCGTGGACCTATATAGACAATACTCTTCCAGGAGGTAAAGTGCTCTGAAGGAACACTTTTTGTGGATTTTCAGATAGTTTTATTGAAAATTTTGGCTAAAATCACCAAAATACCGAATATCGGGGGATTCCGTTGTATGGGGGCTACACGATATCGTGGACCGATATAGACAATCTTCCAACTTGACCTGCCTGCAGACAAGAGACTGATCTGTGCAAAATTTTTAGCTTCCTATCTTAATTCGTTTTGGCTCTAGCTTGATTACAACAGAGGGACGGACGGACACGGCTTAGAATTTTATGTTGATGAAGAATATATGAGTTACAAACGGAATCATGAACTTAATATAACCTCCATACTATGTATGGTTTAGGGTATAAAAACGCCGATACACGTGCCATCTTTTTTAAGCTCTACTTCCATAATATGCTGGATTTTCCCCGCTGTGCTATCCACATTATCCAGACAAGGTAAATCCTTATCCACCGTAAAAAAAAAACAATGTAAATACATTAACGAAGCAATGAAAATGTATTTTTCATTTTATCCGGGCAAAGAAAATGTATTATTCGTTTTCTCCAGATTTTGTTATTTGATTATTGACGTTATCCAGACTTCTTAGACACATTGTCCATACTATCCAAGATAATCAAACTATGTTATCCACCATCCTATTCAAACAATGGCCAGTAAGGAGAAGTAAAAAAAGGGGCGGGACCGACTATATGATACCCTACACCACTATGCATATTTAGTAGAGCTCCCGTAACAAAAGCATTTATTTGAAGTAGTACCATTTGGGCTGATATTAGCCATTATTTGCACAATAAACCTGAAATCGGTTGAAGATATATATGGGAGCTATACCCTCTCGGAACCGATCTTGATACCATTTGGAAGAGGTATTTCTGGACTTTATCTGATATCTGGTACCAAATATAATTGCTTATTATTGCTTATTATGCATATGAGGGACATAAACACCAAATCGGATAAAACGCATATATGGGAGCTATAGCTATATCTGAACCGATTTCCTGCAAATTTGATGTACTTGCTTCTAGATTAAATTCGGTGGGATGTACAAAAATTCAGGACTTTTGTACTGATATTGGCCATTTGGTGCACAATTAACCGGAAATTGGTTGAAGATATATATCGGAGCTATAGCTATATCTGAACCGATTTTCTCCAAATTTGATGTACTTGCTTCTAGACTAAATTTGGTGGGATGTACCAAAATACAGGTCATTTGGACTTATATTGGGCATTTGGTGCACAATTAACGCGAAATCGGTTGAAGATATATACGGGAGCTATATCCAAATCTGATCCGATTATCTCCAATTTCAATAGGGTTCGTTCTAGGGCCAAACAAATATTGTTTGGAAAATTTCATCCCAATCGGATAATTAAATGCAACCTGCATTTTGTCCACAAGAATACATAGACGGACGGACGGAGGGACAGACGGACTGACATGAATAAATTGACTCAGAATGTGTTTCTACGAGTATCCTCAAAAGTAATTATGGGTCTTTTTCGCTTCCTTCTCCCTGTTACAAACAAATTCACAAAGACATGATACCCTTATCACGATGTGGTGTAGGGTATAAAAATATATTACCGAAGTAATGAAAATGTATTGAACAAAGGATATATGTTGTCCGTTTTATCCAAATTATGAAAATACTTGATATACCCTATCGAAAAAAATATTCATTATTTCGACTCTGTATTAACATAATTTGGATAGGATGGATTAAGGATTTACATATTTTGGACAAAGTGGAGCTTGGATAATGTACACCTAAGTCTGTTTTTACACGGTCTTTTTGTACACGGTTTTGATATAACACGGTTTGAAAATTGAATATTTTTAATTTTTTACACGATTTTATTCCATTTAGCACGATTTGAAGTGTTATGTAATTAAATTTTTAAATTTAATTTTAATTTTAACGCATTAAGATAAAAGGTAAGCCAAAAAATATTTTGTATTTATTCAGTTATTTATGTTTTTTAATTTTGTTAAATATTTTATGTATCCCTAAAAGGAAATGTCAGATAAAAAACTAAAAGAGAAGGCAATTTCTTTGGAAACCAAGATTAAAATTTTAGATCGCCTTCGAAATGGAGAAAGCTCAACTGCTCTTGGTAAAACGTTCGCTCTAAATGAAGCCACAATAAGAACTATAAAGAAAAATGAAATTGCAATTAAGCAATCGGAGATTTCATGAATTCTTGTTCTTAAAAATTCTTGTTTTTCACTAATTTTAATAGGTTTTAGAGATTAGAAACAAATCACCCATTTTTGTATAAGACCAATGTCTTTTTTACACGGGTTTTTTTTTACACGGCTTCTTCTGGAACCAATCTACCGTGTAAAAACAGACTTAGGTGTATTCATATTATTTGGATATTATCCAAACCACATAAATTAATTATCCAGACTGGGTAGACATGTTATTTACACCATCAAGATATTAAAAATATTTTATCCACAATTATCCTAACAATGTATTGACATTTTTACATTACTTTAAAATAATATTAATAACATTATGAAACCTTGTATTGATTATTATTTTTATTACTGTGAATATATATATGGATGTAGGTTTAACTGTGCTTAAAGTGTAGGGTGATCAAAAGTTTTCACTGTGTGTATTTGCAATGCATGTGAGTGCCGATGAACACAAAAAAATATATATTAAAAATAATTAACAAAGTATAACTTAAAAATATAACCAAGCCATAAAAATATCAAAAAAAAAAAAAAAAAAAAATGATAAACAAAATGAAACTTCTCTTCCCAAAAACCCAAAATTAAATGTAACATTTAAAGTAATAATAACAAAATGGAATGAAATACACTAGGATATTTTTTTTTTTTTTGTTTATAAAACGTTTATAATATATAAAACGAAACATATAGAGAGAAAGAGTATAGAGGGGGAGGTAGGGATGAAGAAGAAATAATGGTGACAGAAACTCTTACCGCACAGGTTCATAAGCGAATTTGATTTTCGCCCACGGAAATTTAGTGTACTTCCTTTGGCTACAGATATACGTGATAGAGTACGACCTCGTTCGACATTTGGTTCTGGAAAAATTCCCATATTTATATAGTTTTTGATTTTTGTTTTGTGGTTTCTTGTTGTTGATTTGGAAAGTAGTATTTTGATTTTGTAATAATATATATATGCATGTATATTAAAGGAAGTATGTTTGATATAATTTTGAATAAATAAATAATGTTGATAGATAAATACTTATTTTGATTTCATTTCGTATAAAAAAAAACAATAGACCTTGAACCTTGAATAACATGTAAGAAAAAAAAAGAATAAAAATAATAAAACGTAACAAGCCCAAAACCTCAAGATTAGGAACTTGAAGGAAGTATTAAAAAAAAATAACCTTATATTGCATTTGTTGGAAATTGAACCTTAACACCAGAATTTGTTTCAAATTCAAACCTAAAACCCGGTTGGTAATTGTTTAAAAAAATATATATTCAAGATTATGTTTAATATGTATTAGTAAGGCATTCGCAACACACGAACGAACGTATGGAGATATTGTAAATTAATTAACTTAGGGAACTCAATAACTCTTTGTAAGATGATGAAGAAGAAGCATGCGCAAACCATAGTCAAATAGGCTTCAATTTTTGTTATGTGCTGCAGTGGGGGGACACCAAGCTGTTGGTTATCCCCAAAAAAACAAATAAGCATTTAGTGTGGGTGGATTGGTTATCCTTGAAGATCACTTCAGTCCTTGCAGTGGATTTGGGTGGGGAAAAGGGGAGGTGGTTATAGAAGGATAAAGAGGTTGTTTTCTAAAGCAGTGTTGTTAATTTTAAAAACTTAAAATACCAAAATAACTTAGAAATAACACTTAGACAACACAATCATAATAGAGTGGGCGGCAAAAGGGGGAGGGGTTAAATTAATTTGTTTAAAAAACCAAGAAAGAAAGAAACAACGAAATCATATTCCATATATATTGAGGTTATGTTTAGAAGCTAAATTGTTAATTTTTAATGCAGCATTTCAGTTTTTTTTGCTTTATAAGCCCATCACCAACCTTTACACAACTTATAGGATCCCCGGCGTCCAATCGGTGTTGAACTAGTACTCGGGTATTCATCCGGTGATTCTAATTAAAAATAGAGAAATCATTTACACATCATCAATACATAATACACATATACACTTATTTTAATATGAGGGGGCAAAAGGGCGGAGGCAAGAGAGAGAGAGCGAGCGAGAGAGCGCAGAGATAACTGTTAGTTGGAAGCCTATTTTATGGGGGGGTTAAGGTATTGAAAAGCATAATTCCTTCAAAAATTACAAAAGCATGCAGAAAAAAAAACAAACAATTCCAAAATAAAATACAAAATAAAAAATACATTCCTTTAGATATAAAATTAATTAAACATTACTATAGAATATGAAATAAAATAGTATCCGAATAATACGAAAGAATTATCTGTGTTGTGAGAAGAATGAAGAGGCAAAAACCGAATATAACCGAGAAATCATGGGTGTAAATGGGTTGTTCATATGAACCCATACTAACTATGTAAATACTAACTATGTAAATACAATATAAATCGACTTTCCAAGTTATCCGTATCATCGGGACAATTCAAAAAAAAAAAAAAAAAAAAAAAAAAAAAAAATACAAAATACAAAATCCGAGCTATTCCAACTATCCGCCTTTTCCATACAACTATCGATTATCCGTATTGTTCGAACAGTCTAAACACATTTGTCGTATTTTCCCAACGGGTTAGTCGATATTTCTGCTGTATCCAAACGATTTTGATTATTATCCACATTTTCCAAATATTTATGCAAACCACGTAAAGTTGAATATCGCGTTATCCGAACAAAATTGATTACCCAAGTTATCCGTATCATCGGGACAATTCAAAACGTACATAATCCGAGCTATTCCAACTATCCGCGTTATACAAACAATATAGACCGATTATCCGCATTTACCGATCAGTTCAAACACATTCGACGTATTATCTCAACGGGTTAGTCGATTTTTTTGGCTTTATCCCAACGATTTTTATTGTTATCCACATTATCCAAATATTTTTTCGAGAAAATCACGTTATCCGAAAAATTTTGATGCTTTATCTACGTTATCCACATTACCCAGCTATGTAGACGCATTATCCGTTTTATCCAAACAATATATTTCGTTTATCCGCTTCATCTCAAAAATGGAAATTCATTCGACGTACTATCCGAACGGAGTAGTCATTTTTTTGCTTTATCCGAACGATTTTGATTATTATCCAAATTATGCGAACATTCGGCTTTATCCAAACGATTTTTATTGTTGTCCACTTTATCCAAGTAGGAGAAAATCGCGTTATCCGAAAAATGTTTATGCATTATCTATTTTATCCGTGTTACCTTAACCGCTTATCCAAAGAATATATTTCGATTATCCGCTCTATAACAAAAAATGGAAATTCATTCGACGGATATTTGTTATTTGTATTTTTCTGCTGTATCCGAAACAGTTTGATAATTATCCACATTATCCGAGCAATTTAGATGCATTATCCACGTTATCCAAACAATATTTTTCGATTTTCCGCGTTATCCAAACAATATATTTTGATTATCCATTTATCCATAAAATTAAAATTCATTCAACTTCACCTCCGAACAGGATAGTTATTTTTTCTGATTTATCCAAACGATTTAGATCATTATCCACATTATCCAAATATTTTTGGGTGGCGAAAATCACGCTTTAGATGCATTATCCATTTTATCCGCGTTATCCCAACAACGTAGACACATATTTCACCTTATCCAAAAAAAATGGAAATTCTTTCGACACACTATCCGAATGAATTAAATCATTATCCACATTATCCACACATTTATGGAGACATGTAAATGCAAAAAATCGCATTATCCGAACAGTTTTGATGCATTATCCACGTTTTATCCGTATTATCCCAACTATGCAGATATATTATCCGCGTTAAATATATATTTTGATTGTCCGCATTTTCCGAGCAGTGTAAATGTATTCAAAACATTATCCGAACAAGGTAAACACTTTATTCGCAATATCCGAACGACGAAGATGTTTTATCTACATTATTCGAACAGTGTAGTTGTATTATTCACATTATCCAAACATTGTAGCTGCATTAATTTTATTATCCGAAATACTTTTTTACATTTTCCGCTTTATCCAAGCAATGAAAATTAATTATCCACGTTATCCGTATTATCCCAACTATGCAAATATATTATCCGAACGATGTAGATCGACTTTCCGCATTATCCGAGCAGTGTAAATGTATTCAAAACATTATCCGAACAAGGTGAACACTTTATCCGCATATCCGAACGATGCAGATGTTTTATCCAACCCGTGTAAATATATTATTCCAATTATCCAAACATTGTAGCTGCATTAATCTCATTATCCGAATCATTTTTTAACATTTTTCGCTTTATCCGAGCAATGAAAATTAATTATCCACGTTATCCGGGTTATCCTAACTATGCAGATATATTCTCCGAACAATGTAGATCGACTATCCGAACAATCTAAATGTCTTCAAAACATTATCTGAACAAAATAAACATTTTATCCGCAATATGCGAACGATGAAGAAGTTTTATCCACATTATCCAAAGAGCGTAGATGTATTATTCACATTATCCAAACATTGTAGCTTCAGTAATCTCATTATCCGAATTTTTTTTTAACATTTTCCGCTTTATCCGAGCAATGAAAATTATTCGTTATCAGTTATCCAAATAATATATAATTTTTTTGATTATCCGCCTTATCCAAACAGTGTAAATTCATTTGACACGATCTTAACAAGGTAAATGCTTTATTCGCAATATGCGAACGATGTTTTATTCACATCATCAATACATCAATTTAATTATCCGAACAATTTTAAAACACTATCCGCTCCAAATTCAGAAAATTTAATTTATGCGGGCCAAAATCGTTTTTTTTTTTTCTCAAAGTTATCTGCGACACCTAAATTCTCCCCTCACAACACAGATACTTTTTTCGTACTTTTCAGATCTTTCAAACATAAAATAATTACATTAAATTTTCCATGCACATTCAGATACCAAAAATTAAAATCAAACAAAACTACCTTTTGAATATAAATAATAAACATATTTTCAAATGTGGTTCTAGGCATTTAACTTTGTTTTAGCATAGCTTGTCTTAACCACATTTGAAAATAATAATAAAAATTATATAAATAAAATAAATAAAAAAAAACACACAATTACCTTTCACTGTGAGGGAGTCTTGAGAGCCTCGGTAATAGTCTCGTCTCATTGAGTTCGAACTTAATTGGCCTAAACCTGGGTTTTTTGGTTTGAACGTGTTATCGTTTTTTTGTAAAAACCAAAAAAAAAATATTTTTTGTTTTCAACGAGTCATGCAAAGAACAAAGAACGTTGTTAACAAAAGGGGGTAGAAATAATAATAAAAAAAAAATAAAAAAAAAAAAATTAACAACAGGAAAAAAAAAGTAACAACACACATCAAAACAAGTCAGTCTCACAGACAGGTGGTAACACATGATGTTCTCTATATATAGAGTGTGTCCGCAATAATAGCAACAAGTTTCGTTTTGCATCTTTTTTGGGGGGAGGGAAGGAAATTTCAACACTTACCTGTTATATTCGAACTCGAGCCTTTTTTACCACGACTAGATAGGCTGGAAGCTTCACTTATATCCACAGCAGAACCATCGTCCACATGTATGGTTTTGGGACGTGGTCGTGTACTCTTTTGGCGTGTCCTAGATATAGTATTCGTTTGTGTGCTCGGCTTGAGGGCAATGTCATTGCGGTCTATTGTTTTGCCCTGCAAAAGAAATGAGAGAGGAGAACATTTATTTAAAAGAATTGCAAAAGGAGAGAAAATAAAACAAGTTTTCTCAGGGAAAATCATGAGGTTATATAAGATATTCATAGAATCACTTTCTGAACCGATTTATGCATGTCAGTCCGTCTGTCCATGTATTCTTGTGAACAAAATGCAGGTCGCATTAATTATCCGATTGAGATGAAATTTTCGAAACAATATTTGTTTGGTCCAAGGACGAACCCTAATTGGTGATAATCGGATCAGATAGATAGATAGATAGATATAGCACCCATATATCTTCAACCGATTTCGTGTTAATTGTGCACCAAATGTTCAATACAAATCCAAGTCGGTTGGCACATCCAACCGAATTCAGTGTAGAAGTAAGTACATCAAATATGGTGAAAATCGGTTCAGATATAGCTATATCTCCCATATATATGTTTAATCCGATTTGGTGTTTAAGTCCCTCACATGCGTAATATGCATTCCACAAGCATGATATTTGGTACCAGATATCAAATACTGCTCTGAAGTAGGTGCATCAAATTTTGTCAAGATCGAATCAGATTTGCATATAGCTTCCGTATATATCTTCAACTGATTTCGGGTTAATAGCCAATATCAGTCCAAAAGTCCTGAATTTTGGCACATCCAACCGAATTCAGTCTAGAAGAAAGTACACCAAATTTTGTCAAAATCGGTTTAGATATAGCAATAGCTCCCATATACATGTCTCATCCGATTTAGTGTTTAAGTCCCTCACATTCGTAATATTCCTTTGACAACAATGATTTTTGGTACCAGATATCTCATAGAGCTCGGAGATACCTTTGCCAAATTTTAGCGAGATCGGCTAAGATTTGAATATAGCTGTCACATATATGTTTCATCCGATTTCAGATTTATTGAGCAAATAATGGCTAATATCAGCCTAAATGGAGTGAATTTCGGGATGTACTTTTCCCATTTGTGGAACTCGGTTCCGATATATATTTTTTTGATATAATCTTTCTCGAAAAATAAAATGTCTGTCAAATTTAGTGAAAATCTATATAGAATTGGATATGCCTCCCATATATTAGTTCCCTCTGAAGCCAAACTATAACTGCTCTAAAGCCAAATGTTAATAGGTGGTATGATCAAATTTAAATAAATTCTCTTGTTACGGGAGCTTTACTAAATATGCAAAGTGGTATAGGGTATCATATAGTCGGTCCCGGCCGACTTTTGACTTTTCCTTACTGGTTCTTTGTTATGAAGGAAGTATTTTGTCATTTATAAAAAGATCTTTTGGATTATAGGTGACCTTTTGGCCTATTATTTGTCATCAATAAATAACCTTTAAAATCTTCTAGAAGATGATCTGCTTGTCTGCTTTCAGAACTCTTTTGTTTTTCTATGAAAAGACCTTTTAGTTGGTTTTCCATAAAAAAAGTTTCCTTGGTCATTCTGCCTTCTATGGAAAATATTTTGTCTTTCACAAAAGATTTCAAGAAAATGATTTCAAGAAAATGTTTTCCTTTGGGCTAGCTAGTTCCCAATAAATCTGATCGTTCCCTACCTCCCGTTCCGCTTCTTCCAGAGCCTTTTTGAGGCGATGCTGTTCCAATATTGCCGCTCTGCGAGCCATTTGTTCTTCCTTTTTGCGTTGCTTCTCCTCCTCTTTTTCACGTTCGAGTTCACGTTTACGTGCAGCCTCCTGTTCTTTGCGTTCCTTGGCCTCCTCCTGTTGTTGGCGACGTTGCAAGGACATCAGCATGATTTTCTCCTTGCGGCGTTCCATTTCATCCACGGATTCCTGGAAAGGAAAGATAATAATTCGAATTTATGATTTTCGATACAATTTTATCTCTTTAAACCTACCGGATCTAAATTGGTGGCATCGGTGCCAATAATTAAAGCTTTGCTTTTCGTTTTTTCACCTCGACTATTCTCTAGGGCTTGACTACTGCTGCTGCTGCTCACAACATGTGTGGGCGATGTGGAAGCAACTGACGGCGGAGGAGTTTGTGGTTGATTGTGATTATTACTTGTGTTGTGCGACGACGACGACGAAGACGTAAACTGTTTATTGTCCCCGGCGGACATAACCTGACTTAATTGTATGGGACTGTCGGTGTATTTGTTGTATGTGGCCTTGTTTATATCCATCGATGTTGATTTGGGGCTACCGCTTTCGCTGTAGTTCAACTGATGGATTTTTGGTTTGAATTTCGGTTCGTTGACCTCTTTGCTGAACGGGGAATCGTGGTAATCTTTTAGATTGCCACTGCTCGAATCGCCACTGTTCAGTGTCTGATGATCAACACTGTCAAGGCTTTTTTCTTTTTTGGGTGAACGTTTGGCGCGTAATGGAGGTTTGGGTCTTTTGGGCTGATCATCATCGAAGGAGATATAGAAGCCTTTTTCGGCATTGCTATTGTTCTTCTCAGCTGAACGAGGATCCTGAAAAAAAGGGAGGGAAGAAGATTAAATAACTTTTATTTAAATTTAAAATTTTATATCCCACCTGGAAGCTATTTGGATGGAGTTGTGGACGTTGTGGAGATGGAATCCTGTAGGTAAGATTACCACTGGTTATATTGAGTTTCTGGGGCATCATATCCGGGTGACCACCACCACCGCCATAATCATCATATGTGTATTGTTCATCCCGCTGATAGTGTTGCTGTTGCTGCTGCTGTTGTTGTTGTTGGGAACTATTATGGTGGTGGTGTATGGGAAAACTGTATTCTGACAGCCCAGTGCTTTGCATTTTCTCAATGACATTCCGTTCAATTTCATCAATGTCATCCTCATCGCCAATGAAACAAATACTCTGGGGTGCCATGACATCTTCCGGTGGTGTGGGTGCCGACGAGGCCTTGGGAACAACAATTGGTGATCGAGTCTCTCTCAAATTGGTCATGGATTGCTGACGTTGTACACCGCCGCCACCACCCATGCTACCACGCTGACTGTGCACTGGCGATGAGTGGACCGGATACATTTGCATGTGCTGTTGACTATCACCATTCTGGTGTATCGACGAGCGGTGATGTGACTGCTGAGGCATGTGATTATCCTGTTGGGGACTACCCCAGCTAGGACCACCATCTTCCGATTTCTGGGAACGTCTTTGCCAGGCATTCACATCCACCATTTGCTGTTGCATGGCATCAAACGAGGGCTGGGCCCAGGTTCTCCGTTGCGTTGGCGGTGGACCAGCATAGACATTCGCCTGAGGTGGAGCCTCATGGCCATAATAGTTATTCGGCTGTGGTGACATGTTGGGCTCACGACCCATCATCGATTGGTGGTGTGCTGGTGGTGGTGGGGCATAATCATCGTAAATACTTTGACGCGGAATGTATGGTTGTTGGTGTGCTGGTTGTGGTGGTGGCTGTTGTTGGGCTGGATGATGCGGCGGCTGTGGTCCATAGTTATGATTACTGCTGCTGTTGTTGTAAGGCACGACATTGTTGTCATTGTAATGCGTCGACATCATGGTATTGTATTGGGACTGTGGCACCATCGATGGTTGCTGCTGACCACCACCGTACATGTTATAGGGTGGTGTGCTGTCGTTCATGTACTGTACCGGCATGGTCTGCATTTGTTGGTAGGGATCACGGCTGGGTGGTCGTGAACCATAGGGATTGACAGCGCTGTTAAAGGACTGCGGCAAATGGGGTGAAGAGCCAAAGTTCTGTTGTTGTTGCAGAGGCCGTGGCGGATAGGGATCGGCCAAATGTTGTTGGGAACCAAAATTTGAGTGTTGCTAGAGAATAGAGGAACGTGGGAAGACAATTAATAAATTCCAATATTCGATGGCATACTTTTAGGCATATAAAGCATATTAGGTTTCAAGCTTGTTTTAGTTTTTCTTGTGGGGGGGGGACAAATATGAACAGAAAACATGACAGAGCATGACATGGTTTGGAACATAGAATTGTGTAAATGTGTTGTGTGTAGTTTAAAGAGTTTTGTTTCAAAATTTCGTTTAATTTTCTTTCATTTTTTCGTTTTTTTTTTGTCGGGTGCCAAATCGAAAGAGGTGTATGTGTGTGTTTGTGCTTATGTTTGTTCGTCTGTCTGTCTGTCTGTTGGTATTTGCATATCATTTTACCTGATTCAACATATTGGCAATCTGTTGAGCCTGCAGCAACTGTTGGGCTTGCATTTGTTGGGCCTGTATCTGATTTTGTTGAGTGGCTAGCCTTTGTATGTCTTGTTGAATATCTTGCAGATTCATGTTCATAATAGCGATGCTTTGCTGCGATTATGATGCAAAAACAATGATGACACATAAGAAACATTAGGGGGCGGGGAGGTGGAAGAGAGTGAGAGGGTTGTACGTAGTAGTAGTTGTTGTTGTAAATAATAAATTGAAATGCACAAATGATTAAATACCAAAAAAAAACACACAAACGAAGAGATACAAATGATATGTACACAAATACAAGTGGAATTTTTTAGATACAATTTTAAATTAAGTTTTTGGAGATTTTCAATTTTTTTTCTAATTATTTTCTAAATAGTACGTCAAAAACATGTTCGAATAATAGACTACATGAACATTACTTATAGCAACAATCATTATTTTTCGGTTGAAAGGGATATAAATCTAATATTTTATAACCTCAATATTTGCTATAGGCTATCTAAAAAGACTAAATTCTATTCCTTCCGATTGGCTTTAGCTCCTCATTATGATCTTGCAAAGTTGAATCCCATTTCTCATTTTATAATCACATCTGGTCTTCTAAAGACCTATTGATAATCCTCTATAAATAGTCTCTCCTTCCTCATGTTTCACTATCTGAGAAGATTATCATCTTGTCGGATAAAACATCTCCTTGTGGCAGACTAATAAGATCTGCTTCTAGTAGACTAAAAAGCTCCATTCTTGTTGGTAAAATACTCAATCTTTTGAGCCATCCAAAAAGAGTACCTTCCGGTGAATAATAACCACATTTTCTGACTAACTTATTTTTTCTTCTGAAAGACTCTTTTTAAATAGCCTGTATATTCTCCATTTTAATATCCCAAAGAGACTTTCCTTTGGTCTTTTAAAAAGACTTCACTTTTCTACTTCATTTTTTTAGTAATTCAAAGACCCTTTCTTATCGACTGTCATTCCTGATGGCTTACCGGTAAAATATTTTGTATTTTGAGTCGTCCAAAAAGAATGCCTTTTCGTGAGTAATAACCACCTTTTCTCACTAACTTTTTTTTCTTCTGAAAGACTCTTTTTAAATAGCCTATATATTCTCCATTTTGATCTCCCAAAGAGATTTTCCTTTGGTCTTTTAAAAAAACTTCCATTCGCTGCTCTTCTTCATTTTTTTAGTAATTCAAAAACCCTTTCTTATTGTCGTCTAAAAACCCTTAAAATAACCCTAAAATATTTTGTATTTTGAGTCGTCCAAAAAGAATGCCTTTTCGTGAGTAATAACCACCTTTTCTCACTAACATTTTTTCATCTAAAAGACTCTCTTTAAATAGCCTGTATATCCTCCATTTTGATATCCCAAAGAGACTTTCCTTTGGTCTTTTAAAAAGACTTCCATTCGCTGATCTTCTTGGTTTTTTTAGTAATCCAAAAACCCTTTCCTATTGTCGTCTAAAAAAACTCCTTCTGGTAGTCCAAAAAGAGCCATTCTTGTAGGCTTACTGGTAAAATATTTTGTCTTTTGGGTCATCCAAAAAGAAGGCCCTCTCGTAATAGTTTTTTTTTTTATCTGAAAGTCTCATTTTTGATAGCCTGTAGATTCTGCATTTTGATCTCTTTTAAAATGAATTCTATCCTGTGCTCTTATCGATCGACCAAAAACACTTTCTTCTTGCCATCTAAAAAATATACCCCTGATAGTCTAAAAAGTGCTCTTTCTTGTTGGCTTTTTGGTAAAATACTCCGTATTTCGATTCGACCGAAAAGATTTCCTTCTTGTGACTTTTTTTCTTTTGAAATACTTTCTTTTCATAGCCTGTATGTTTTTCATACTAATCTCAAAAGAAAGTCTTTTGGTCTTTTAAAAAACCGATGCTCTTCTTCGTCTTTTTTAGTCAACCAAAAACACCACTATCTTTCTGTCGTATAAATCTCGGTTTATAGATCTCCTAAAATACTCCTTGTATCAGGGCATTCAAAAAAGACTGCCTTATCGTGAATAATAAACACCTTCCCTGATTAGCTTTTTTTCTTCTGAAAAACTCCCTTTTGATAGCATGTAAATTGTCCATTCCGATCCCCTAATGAGACTTTTTTAAGTCTTTAAAAACACTTCAATTCGATGCTCTTCTTTATACTTTTTGGCCAACCAAAAATACTATATTCTTGTCGTCTAAAAATCCTCCTTCTGGTAGCATAAAAGGGTTCCTTCTTTGCGGATTATAGATCTTCTAAAATACTAATTTTTCAGGGCCATCTAAAAAAGACTGCCTTCTGGAAAATACCCCCCCCCCTCTTTATCTGTCCAACTTATTTTTATTTCAAAGAGTAACTTTTTGTAGTCTGAAATGCCTTTTTCTGATTTCCCAAAGAGGCTTCCTTGTTGTCTCCTACTTTTCTTTCAAAGAGTAACTTTTTATAGTCTGAAATGCCTTTTTCTGATTTCCCAAAGAGGATTCCTTCTTGTCTCCTCAAAAAAAAAAAAACTTCTTATGATCTGGTAGAGAGAATTTCGCCCATATTCTTTTTGAAAAAAAGACCTCCTTCGTCTAAAAAGACCTCCTTCTGTAGTAGTCTGTGTAGTCTAAAAATACTCTATTCTAACCGACCAAACAGGCAAAATGTTGGTAGTCTAAAAACATTTCTTCCTCTCTGAAAAAAACTCTCTCATCTACTACAGATGTTTCTTAAAATTCTCTACGGGTATTCCATGGGGGTGTTCAATTAAACTTTTCTTGCTGATTTTTAATAAATTATTATTAAAAAAGATTTCCTTATAAGTCTTCCTCTCTTGTGGTAAATAATTGTTTCCTTTGTTGTCAATTATAAAACTTCTTTCTGACTTGCTATTATAATCCTTAAATAAAGAATGCCTTCGGTTTATTTATAAAGGATTAAATATGGACACTTATAGACGCCATGAACTTCAGTTTATATATGAACGCTCCCTGTAAACCCTTGGGCATCCAATTTGTCTATTAATCCTAATTTCAGCTCCGGCCGTATCATAAGATTTCCTGCACAATCAGCAAGTCTGTATATGTTTCAGATTTAATTATAGCTCATATTTTATTTTAGAATATTTTAGACTACCTGAATCCTTCCATATAATTTGATTGGAAAACGAACGGAAAACGTTCTAAGTCGCTATGAACATAATTATGTCTATGAACTCTTCCTGTAAATTCAATACACTTCAAGTCATTTAAGCAAAGCCTTTGATCTCCAGCTGGTTCATAAAAACCCCTATGCCTTTAACTTTTCTATAAACCCCAAAGATTTCCTGCACATTCAGCTCGGTTAACAAAATTGAATGTGTTTCAGTTTTGATTTTAGCTCGTCTTTGAAACTGCCTGAATTTCAGTCTTTCTCGACATCCCCTAATCTACAGAGTTTTTTTTCAATTCTTCTCTATTTTTGTAATAGATTTTTTGTTGTTGCAGAACTAATTACATACCTAAATAAACTACAAAACTTCAACACAAATACGATTTTTATAAATAAATTACAATACTACGCTAACAACACTCTTGGGAATTGAATACAAAAAAAAAAAAAAAAAAAAAGAGGGGGAAACGGTTTTTAGTAGTACAGTGAGCGAGCTACACAATATTGGAAAAAGTTAGATTGTGTGCAATAGTTGTTAGAATTTTACCCAAATACCAACCAAACCAAAAGTAATATACCCACATTCAACATATCAACACTTCAACTCACTTGATACTTATCCAATTCCATGGGATCAATGTCTGATGTACGTTTCGAATCATTGCTCATTGTTTCCCATTTCATGTAATCATCGGCCATTAGGTCGTCTTGATTTAGCTGGAAAACAGATAAGAGAAAATTATTAAAATTAAATGACATAATTTCTTTAATGATTTCGAAAATGTATATTAACCTTTTCCTGATAACGATTCAGAGCCATTTCAATTCGCCGCTTATCCTGTTCAATCATGCGCCGACGTTCTTCCAGTTTCATGCGTATATTTGACAATTTATAAGCACTCTCTTGGGATCGGGTGTCGTCATCGTAAAGATCTGGAGAATTAGAAAATTTGGGAAATGTTAGAAAAGCAAGAGATGCAAGGGAAAGTAGATGTTGCAAGGGTAATGGAAAATATGTAAATGGCAAAAAAACTTTAGAATGACAGTAGGAAAGCTGTGCCTTCTATTTTTCTGGAAATGTTGGTAATCAGTTCTTATATAAAGCCACATTTAATACTCTTTTTATATTCATAATAGTCATTCAAAAAGTTATATTTTGTGTCTATTTAAAAAAAAAACGCCATTCACGTCAATAAGAATATCCTTTTCTAGCGCTAATTCTCACCAAACAAGACTGTTTTCCAAAATTTCTTTACTCTGGATGTCCAAAAGACTCCACTCAATAATATAACTCTTCCATTCCTCTTCGGAAGTTTCTCCTTTTTGGTCATCTAAAAATACCCAATTTTCGTCAAAAAGAAGGTCTTTTTCTGGCTGTGCCACTTATCAAAATGGACTAGTTTCTGTTCACATTCAAAATTTTTCCTTTCTGGTCAAATAAAGTCTCCAACCTCTCCATTTCCTGACACTACCTCTCATATCTGAAGCACTTTTTAATTGATACAAAAGTTCTCCTTTCTGGTCATTTGAAAATTCCCTCGTCATCCGCTCTTCTGATCATCTTAAAAAATCGACTCTCGTCAATTATAAAACTATTCTCAGGCATTGCTGCTTGAATTCAGTTTTCCTTCCTGGCTTTTTAATAAGACTCCTTTCTCGTCACTAATGTTGCCCAATTTCCGGCATTTTTTCATAAACAAAAAATTCTTCTTTCTGGACATCAATTTGGTCATTAAGGAAGTCCTTCTCTAGTGCCATTCATGAACCAAAAAAGAGTGCTGATCACGTAAAAGATCTTCTTAAAAGTTCGTCTAAAAAGGCTCCATTCTAGTCAATAATAAACCCATTCTCAGGCACTGCTCCTTGACATTCAGACCATCACTCCCTGGCCCTATCTTTGAGATCTTCCCGGCAACCACCTCTTCCAAATCATCTACCAAATACTTAAGCTTTTAGATCCTCTATCACTTTCTAATATCCCTTCCTTAGTTCTTCTATATTTTTTTATACCCTCCACCATAGTATGGAGGTCATTCCGCTTGTAACACCTCGAAATATACATTTTAAACCCCACAAAGTACATGTATTCTCGATCAGCATAAAATTCTATGTCGATTTAGCTATTTCCGTCCGTCTGTGGAAATCACTCTAGCTTCCGAACGAAATGAAGAAGGTTGATAACTTTTTACTCAAATATATATTATGTCTGCAGGACTTTTGGTAGTGAAAATGGGCAATGTAGGTCCACGTTTTGGTAAAGCCCTGATATAATGGTGCCTCCCTATTTTCGGTATTTTAATAATTTAAGCGACATTATTCACCGGAAATGTTTCAAATGTGGTATTTGATGTTCGTAATGGATGGAGCGTTTTTTTTTTTTTTGTATAAATATATCCTGTTTCCTCTTACCACTTGTTTTATTTTGCCAATTCGTTTGGGGTTTCATGTGCATGCTGGCATTTGAGGATTTTCGCGTGAGTGTGGCATTTGGATCTCTTTCCCTGGGTGGTTCATCGCCGGCCAGCATTTCGGGACTATTCGAATGTTGTTTTTGTTGCTGTTGTTGTTGTTGTAGTGGCACATTTGTGGCACTGTTGGCATGTGATAGGGTGCCATTATTTTTGGCAGCAAGATTGACATTGTCACAGCTAAAATCGAAGAAAAAAAATCGAGATGAAAAACTTTCAAAATCCACACAAATATATCCTACCTTGGTTGCCGTTTCAGCGGCTGTTGTTTCTCTGTATCGTGATCTTGCTTTTCCGACCCAGAATCGGTGTCATAGCCCAGCTGTAAGGTGCCCCGGGCATCGGCTATGGAAGAACGAACGGGGACCACATGTTCTGTAAGTTAAAATGAGTTCATTAATTTCGAAAATATGTAAAAGGAGAGGAGTCCTTGTCTTGTTAAAAAGTATGGTCGTATCGCAAAGTGTCTTGTTAAAAAGTATGGTCGTACCGCAAAGTGTCTTGTTAAAAAGTATGGTCGTATCGCGAAGTGTCCTGTTAAAAAGTATGGTCGTACCGCAAAGTGTCTTGTTAAAAAGTATGGTCGTATCGCAAAGTGTCTTGTTGAAAAGTATGGTCGTATCGCAAAGTGTCTTGGTAAAAAGTATGGTCGTATCGCAAAGTGTCTTGTTAAAAAGTATGGTCGTACCGCAAAGTGTCTTGTTAAAAAGTATGGTCGTACCGCAAAGTGTCTTGTTAAAAAGTATGGTCATATCGCAAAGTGTCTTGTTGAAAAGTATGGTCGTATCGCAAAGTGTCTTGTTAAAAAGTGTGGTCGTATCGCAAAGTGTCTTGTTGAAAAGTATGGTCGTCTTGTTAAAAAGTATGGTCGTATCGCAAAGTGTCTTGCTAAAAAGTATGGTCGTATCGCAAAGTGTCTTGTTGAAAAGTATGGTCGTATCGCAAAGTGTCTTGTTGAAAAGTATGGTCGTATCGCAATGCGTCTTGTTAAAAAGTATGGTCGTATCGCAAAGTTTCTTATTAAAATGTATGGTCGTATCGCAAAGTGTCTTGTTGAAAAGTATGGTCATATCGCAAAGTGTCTTGTTAAAAAGTATGGTCGTATCGCAAAGTGTCTTGTTAAAAAGTATGGTCGTACCGCAAAGTGTCTTGTTGAAAAGTATGGTCGTATCGCAATGCGTCTTGTAAAAAAGTATGGTCGTATTGCAAAGTGTCTTGTAAAAAAGTATGGTCGTATCGCAAAGTGTCTTGTTAAAAAGTATGGTCGTATCGCAAAGTGTTTTGTTGAAAAGTATGGTCGCATCGCAAAGTGTTTTGTTGAAAAGTATGGTCGTATCGCAAAGTGTCTTGTTAAAAAGTATGGTCGTATCGCAAAGTGTCTTGTTAAAAAGTATGGTCGTATCGCAAAGTGTCTTGTTAAAAAGTATGGTCGTATCGCAAAGTGTCTTGTTAAAAAGAATGGTCGTATCGCAAAGTGTCTTGTTAAAAAGTATGGTCGTATCGCAAAGTGTCTTGTTGAAAAGTATGGTCGTAACTCAAAGTGTCTTGGTAAAAAGTATGGTCGTATCACAAAGTGCCTTGTTAAAAAGTATGGTCGTATCGCAAAGTGTCTTGTTGAAAAGTATGGTCGCATCGCAAAGTGTCTTGTTTAAAAGTATGGTCGTAACTCAAAGTGTCTTGGTAAAAAGTATGGTCGTATCACAAAGTGCCTTGTTAAAAAGTATGGTCGTATCACAAAGTGCCTTGTTAAAAAGTATGGTCGTATCGCAAAGTGTCTTGTTGAAAAGTATGGTCGCATCGCAAAGTGTCTTGTTGAAAAGTATGGTCGTATCGCAAAGTGTCTTGTTAACAAATATGGTCGTATCACAAAGTGTCTTGTTAAAAGTATGGTCATATCGCAAAGTGTCTTGTTAAAAAGTGTGGTCGTACCGCAAAGTGTCTTGTTAAAAAGTATGGTCGTACCGCAAAGACCTACCTATAGTGGTATTGGATAGTTTACGTTCTCGATCACCTCTGTCGAAACGATCAATGGCATTCAACTGATCCTGAGAGCCACCAAAATTTTCAATTGTCAATTGAGAATCTTCACTGGAAGAATTGCGACGGGAACGGCGGCCTAAAACAAACAGAAAGAGATTTTTGAATTAAACTCTTCTCAAAATGTATGGAGCATGGCAAAACATACCTGCATAACTAGGTCTGCGATGCTGATCCCAATTACTGGGCCGGCCGGCTGGAACATTGTCACCTAAAATTTAGGGAAAAGGTTAGCAAACATTTTCAAGAAATATTTTTTCACCTCAAAATTTTTACAAACAAATTCAAATTTTTTCCACAAAAAAAGCTTAAATTAAAATTTTCTTTTCAGACACAAAAATAATATATTTTTTTACATTATTCAAAGTAAATGATTGATTAGCATAAAAGGACACACACAACAACAATGTTGGCTGGCTCTTAGTAAAGGAATGGCGCGTGTGTGTGAGTGTGGCAATAAAAGCATGTGTGTTCGTGTGTTTTAAAACAAACCTCTTTCATCGGCCTTCGTTTCGGTGTTTGACTTCTCTTTTGCTTGTCTTAGACGGGCGGGCATTAGTGGATCCTGCTGTTGTTGTTGTTGTTGCATATGCATGGTAGATAATGTGGTAACGCCACGTGATTTGTGCACAACAAATGCTAAATGATGAAGAAATGAATAAAAAAAGAACAGAAACGTAAAAATAATATTGCAGGGTGGTTGGGGTAGTGGTGATGATGATGATGATGGTGGTGTTCATGGTGTCGATGACGATTGGAAACGTGAATTAATAACCAAAAATAAACACACATGACTGAAGTAATCAAAATAGAACTCAATAAAAGAAATTGTCATTGGTTATGGGTGGCATTGGGTGGATTACCCTTACCCATGGGTAGACTTAAAGTTTCAAGGATGGCAAGGATGTGGCTAGAAAAACGAAAGAAATAACCTCGTTTTTTTTGTAATAACAAAATTGGTGGCAAATATATTCGCCAAGATAGAAACTAATTTGAGCTAAAAGGCATGTTTACATTCAAGAAGGCTTAAATTGATTCTAATAAGGAATCATACTGAAAATAGAAGATATCTTAAAGGTTCAACTGACAATGAGTCTTTAGGAGATCATTGGTCATAGATGACGACAAACTTTCCATAAAAATGGAATATAAATGATGGACCACAAATCCCGCAGCCATATGTCCACACTATCACTTGATAGAGTCCACCAATATTGGCCATTTTCGTACCTGACCTAGCACTGATGCAAATATTAGGATTTGCAAAGTTGGAGCAAAATCGGATTATCCTTTCTGTTTCTGTGCAGTAAATTATTATAACCTCAGCCATAGGGCTAGAGAGGGTATATATCATTTGATACGGCCAAAACGTGCCTAATCGAAATAACGGTTTTAAATCCTAAGTCTCATTGGCCCAAATCCGTTTCATTTGGAGTCGATCGATCTAGCGATGACCGTCCGTCTGTTTGTTTGACTGACTGGTGCACACGATAACTCTCGAAGGGAATATCCGATTTGATCCAAACTAGGTACATCGTAATATTATTGTCATACTTAGATCGAGTTCGGAGATGGGCAATATCAGTCAAATCCTTCTCTTACCTTCCCCACAAAATGTCAACATTTTCATAGAAAATAATTTACTGCACAAAAAGAGAAAGGATAATCCGATTTTACTGCAACTTTGCAAATCCTAATATTTGCATCAGTGCTAGGTCAGGTGCGAAAAAGGTCAATATCGGTCCACTCTATGAAGTACCTCCTCCCAACAAAGGGTCAACATTTTAAATAATTAGAACTCTTGTAAAATGTGATATAAGTGTCCGACTGTCTTCAAATTACACACATCACAATATTTTCATTAACCCAAGGTCTGGTGTGAATATGGGATATATCGGTCTACTCCTGCTGGTGCCTCCCCCACAAAGTGTCAAAGTTATGAATAACCAAAACGGTTTTAAAATAGGAAATAAGCATACGTTTCTCTTCAAATTACACACATCACAATGTTTTTATTATCCCAAGCTCTGGTGTGAAAATGGTATGTATCGGTCCACTCCTTCTGGGAAGAGGGCCAACATTTTGAGTATCCATGAAGCTCATAAAACGCGAAATTAACCTCCGATTCCATTCAGACTTGGCACATCTCAATATTTCTATCAACGCAAGATCTGTTATAAAGATGGAAGATATCGGACCACTTCTTCTGGTACCTCCCCCACGAAGGGTCCAAGATTTTTGAAAAACAAAACGCTCAAAGAAAGCGAAATAATCATCCAACTCTCTTCCAATTTCACACATGCAAATATTTTTGCTAACACAAGATCTGCTATGAAGATTGTATGTATCGGTCCACTCCATCTGGAACCTCCCCCACAACGGGTCAAAAATATTTCTATATTCCTATATCCAGGGTGAGATGAAAAAACTGCAAACAACTTCAGACTGCTGTCATTTCTAAGTCACTCGTCCGACAGCCATTAATATTATTCCAGTGACAGCTCATTATATTGTTTACAAGTGTACAAAAGCATTTCGTTGAGAATTTTCCAGAAAAAAAGTTATTCGTGATGAAATTCAAGCGTGATAGTGTGATTTCTTTATATTTGGCTGGAAAACCACAAGTGGCTATCGTTAGAGCACTCCAGCATTTAAATGTGAATAAATCTTTTGTGTCTCGTACCATCGCTCGTTACCGTGATACTGGTAGCGTAGCCCGACGTCAAGGAAGTGGACGGAAGAAAACAGCAAAATCAGCAGAAATGGTTCGAAAAGTAAAGAAGCGACTTTAAAGAAACCCGCGAGTTGCAGTGGCCGAAAAATGGCTCGTGAGCTGAACATATGGAAATATTCCATTCGGCAAACATTCAAAAATGAATGGAGCTGAGGGTAAAGCCATTGAAATTCCAAAAAGTGCAAGAACTTACACCGAATAGACTCAAAAGAGCTAAAGAGTTGCTTCGCCTGGTCGAAAGTGGTGAACCGCCGAATTTGGCTTTCTCCGATGAGAAAACATTCGTTGTCCAGCAGTTTATAAACAAACAAAATGATCCGCTCGTGTTTACTTTCCAAAGAGGTCGGCTGAAAATGTGCACCTTCGGTCACATTGATCACCAATTAAATTTAAAAAAAAAAATGTAAAAATTATGGCGTATGATTTTGTTGCAGTTTTTTTATCTCGCCCTGTATATTTCAAATATTTCTCTCAACCAGAAACCTGCTGAGATGAATATGGAATTTATGATTTCGCATAAAATTGGAAGTAAATGTTCGATTTTCTTGAAGAGTAAATGAAGGGTAAAAATGGAATACTTAGGACGACTATATCTTGTATCTTATCCAGATTTTCTAAAAATTATGACATATTTCATAAAAAGTAAAGGATGTAGTCGATATAGTCCGTACGTGGCACGTCGCATTATTTATATCATATTTATTTAGGTCCAATACGAAATGGACAATATTGGCCCATTCTTGCGGAGCCTAGTCATTAGAGGGGTCAACAATTTAAATAATCATAACAGAAGTCAATATATATGTAAATAATCGAACATTGGCTGATGTATATCCTCATCTGTCGGCAAGACTAACTGATACCTTTTTAACTTTTTAAACGTGGTTTGAAATGAAGAAGGTAATTTAAACCATTGAAACTCCCCTTCATATATTGATATGTACTCTGTATAATTTCCAATAAATTTGCCACATCCTTTTCAAAACGTTTAAATCTACCCCTGGGAAAAAAAAGAACTCAAAAATAAATTAATTTTTATTTTGGGTAATTTAGAAATTGAAAATTAAATAAAAAATCAAAAATAAAATTACCTTCAGGAGTATTTTCGGCCATATTATGGTGGTGGGGATCGTGGTGGATTTGTGATTGTTGTGTTTGCTGTAATTGTTGTTGTTGTTGTTGATGGTGAAAAGATGCAGCAGGTTTATGGATAAAGCCACTCGCCGTATGTGTATACGTTACTACAGGAAAAATAAATATAAAATAATAATTATAGAAAAAAACGATAAGAATTTTCAATTTCAATTTTTTTGTGGTGTTAGAGAGGGCAAGGTAGAAATTAAAACACAGGTCAGCTGTACAAGGTGGGCGGTCGGTGTAAAATAAACAAACAAATAAAAACAAAGAACGTGTGTACAATTTGCGTTGGTGTGTTTCCTTTGTGTGTGTGTGTGTGGGGGTGGGGGTGTGACTGTGAGTGAAATGTGCAATGGTGTGTTAAATATTGTCAAGATTTGTTTTTTCTAGCCAATCAATCAGTTACTAAAGAGAAAACTTAAAGCTTTATTTAAATACCGATAAAAATACAAAAATTGGAGTTAATACTTTTTTTGTTTTGATTTTTTAAAAGCGGGGGTTAAAGAAACACACACATTTTTTAAATATTGATAAAAATATTTTTTTTGTAATAATAAGGATATTTAATTTTCATTACTTTTTAAAAGAGAGTGGCTTTGTGGAACTATAAGAAAAATTAAAAAAATAACTATTCAAATTAAATTAGATAATGAACGAGTGGTGAGTGACTGAGTGGAGACAACAACAAGTAGTACCAGGTGGGCGGCGGGTAATCTATGTAAATGTGAAAATGAATGAAGGAATGACTGACTGACTGAGTGAATGAATGTAGGCAGTTATTGCTGTGCTGTAAAGCTGTGTCGCCGGCTGAAGCCGCTGCTCTTACTGACTTGGCTGCTTTAATGGCTTGTCTACTTTTCTTTTTTTTTTAGCGTTTTTATTATTATGCTTAAGGTGGGGCAACAATGATTATGCATTTGCAATGAGCGAAAAATAGAACGGGGGTAGGGGGAGGGTGGGTTTGGTTGTCTATATTTTCTGGTGGGTTTGATGAAACAACAATGATGATTTGAATGAATGAATGAACACAGCAATGTGATTTGAATGTAAAAAAAAATGAAGAAAAAAATATGTAACTGCGTATGCAAAATATAAATTGTGTGATTTGTAAATTCTAACAAAGATTTTCATGGATTTCAGTAACTGAAAATACGGAAAATCCTACTAAATGAAAAAAGTGGATCGAAAAAGTGGGTCAAATCACGAAAAATCAAATTTCAACTGATTTGGTTGGAATTTAGGTTAGTAAACTTCAAAGAAACCTAAATTAAAAAGTGGACCAAAATTGAATATTTTTCACTGAGAACCCCAAATATTAAATTTCCACTTTTTTTTGATAGAAAATTTCGAATCAAACTCTTGGAAACCCGAAAATTGGGAGATGTTCTTATATGGGGGCTCATTTCCTTTTCTTCTCTCTATTCTATTCTCCAATCTTCTTAATTAGGATGAACACAATGGACCAAAAGGTCACCGAGTAGAGTTGTTGTTTATACAACCGCGCATCCTTTAACCTAACCTAAATGGGGGTTATACCAAGAAATTAACCTACAGAGACTACTTTTAGCGAGGACTTAGTCTACGCAATAAGAACCCGAAATATCAAACAACAGTCGATTTGATTGGAAATTTCAGCAGACAGCTTCAAAATATCGAAAATCGGGAGGTAAAGTTATATGGGGGCTTTACCAAAGCGTGGACCTACATTGAAAATATTTTGAAGGCAGTTAGACCATTCACTAAAAACCCCAAATATCAAGTTTCAACTAATTTCGTAGGAAATTGAAACCCAAACTCTCGAAAATCCGGAAATCAGGAGGTACCTTTATATGGGGGCTATAACATAAAGTGGACATACAGTGACTTCCTTTTGCGAGGAGTCAGTCTACCCAATAAGAACCCAAAATATCAAAGGACAACCGGTTTGATTGGAAATTTCGGCCCACTGCTTCAAAATACCGAAATTCGGGAGGTACATTTATGGGGCTATGACAAAAATTGAACCTAAATTGAAAAAAAAAAATGTTGAGGGGAGTTAAACTACCCAATGCGTACTCGAAATATAAATTTACAGTTGATTTCATAGGAAATTGAGACCCAAAACATCGAAAACCACAAAATCATGAGGTACCCTTATATATGGAGGCCTATACCAAAAAGTGGAATAGAATTGAATATTTTTTGCAAGAATATAATCTAACGACAAAGAGGGCACGATATATGAAATTACAGCCGATTTGGTTGGAAAATTGGGACCGTAACCTTCAAATTCCCCAAAATCTGGGGGTTTCATTATATGGAGGCTTCATAGAAAGGTTGACAAACATATACATATATATTTTGCGAGTAGCAAATCTACCCAAAGGGAACCCGAAATGTGAAGTTACAGCTGATTCTGTTGAAAATTGGCGATCGAAATCTTCAAAAATATCTAAAGTTCGGAGATACCGCTATATGGATGCTATCCCAAGAAGTAGACCTACATCGAAATTGTTTTCGGAAGGAGTTAAATTACCCACAAAGGACCCGAAATGTAAAATTATATAACTGACATAGTTGAAAACTGGGACCGACAGCTTCGAATTATTGAAAATCAGGAGGTACATTTATCTGGGGACTACATCAAAAATTGGATCGACATACAATATTTTTTGCAAAGAGTTTAACTACCAATTGAGAAACCGAAATATCAATTTACAGCTGATTTAGTTGGAAATTTGAACAGAAATTTTCAAAGCCCAAAAATCAGCAGGAACCCTTGTTTACCTTCTTTATAGGTTTATTTTTGGGAGAGGATTAATCTAAACACAAAAACCACAAAATATGAATTTTCACTTATTTTGGTTGGAAATTGGGGTCTATATCTTCAAAATACCCAAAGTCAGAAAGTAACGACAACTTCGAAACTTAAACGTGGACCCAAACATCCTAAGAATGAGGTACACTCTAAGAATGAGGAGACTTTTACAAAGGTTCGTGGATTTGTAGAATATTTGCAATAAGACCCCCCTTTGACACATATTAGGTTGTGTTATGAATTAAAAACAAAAATTTAAGGAGACTTACATAGAATCCTGGATTTTGGATAACATTTTTAGAATGTCTCGGAGATTTCTAACAATACTTTTAAGGACTTTTTAAAGGCTCCTTTAAGTATTGCTTCCACAAAACTCTTAAAAATGGTAATAGATTTTGAAGCATATTTTTAGGATGTCTCGTGGATTTTTAAGGAGACTAAAAACGGCTAATGGATTTTGAAGCATATATATATATATATTTTTTTAAATTTAAAGGAGACTTTTGCAAAAGCACTTGGATTTTTAGGAATAATTTTAAGGAGACTTTTACAAAAGCCTCCGGATTTAAAAAGGTTATCCGGAGGAATATTATGTTTATAGAAAGCGACTTCTTCTCACAAAGTCTCGGGGATTTAAGGGTATTTTTGTGGTGACTCATGGAAGGGCTCGTACATTTTTAAGAATATTTATAAGGAGGCAAAAAGGCTAATGGATTTCAAAGTATATTTTAAAAAAAAATTAATGGAGATTTTTGCAAAAGCTCTTGGATTTTTAGGAATATTTTTAAGGAGACTTTTACAAAAGCCCCGGGATTTTAAAGGTTATCCAGAGGGATTTTAAAATGTTTTTAGAAAGCGACTCCTTCTCACAAAGGCTCGGGGATTTTACGGTTATTTTTGGGGAGACTCATGGAAAGGCTCGTGGATTTTTAAGACGATTTTTATGGAGACTTAAAAAGCCTAATGGATTTTGAAGTATATTTTTAAAAAAAAGCTCTTGGATTTATAGGAATATTTTTAAGGAGACTTTTACAAAAGCCCCGGGATTTTAAAGGTTATCCAGGGGAATTTTAAGAATGTTTTTAGAAAGCAACTACTTCTCACAAAGGCTCGGGGATTTACGGGTATTTTTGTGGTGACTCATGGAAAGGCTCGTGGATTTTTAAGAATATTTTTAAGGAGACTAAAAAAGGCTAATGGATTTTGAAGTAAATTTTTAAATATTTTAATGGAGACTTTTCCAATATCTCTAAGATTTTTAGGAATATTTTAAAGAAGATTTTTCCAAAAACTCCTGGATTTTAAAGATTGTCCAGTGGGTTTTAATGAATCTTTTTTGGAAAACGGCTTCTTCCTACAAACACTTGAGGATTTTGCAGGTATTTTTGTGGTGACTCATGGAAAGGCTCGTACATTTTTAAAAAACCTCCTAGAAAGTCCTATGGGTTTTTAAGAATATTTTTAGTAAAACTTCTAAAAAGGCTCCTTGATTTTTTATATTCTAACAAAGACCCATGTCTTTTTTGGGAACATTTTTAGGAAGCTTCTTACAAAAGTTCTTGGAATAAATATGAACGAGCTCATTTTTGGCCGGTCTTATCAAGAAACTCTTAAATTTGTTTTCTTCTTCAATTAGTTCTGGGATCTCAAAGCTATATTTAAAAACATACGCAGTCACAGTATAAATATGATATGAATGAATCTAAGAAAGAACATGCAAAAATAAAGAGAAAAAGGCAATGAGATAAAATCAATAATAAAGAACTAAAAAACGACATTTCAGTTCCAATATTCATTGAATCAGCTGGATAGAAAAGGTATGAGTTCTTTCCAGCCTCAATACAATTTAAAGCTGTGCATGGCACAAAAAAACAGAAAACGATTAACAAAAACTCAATTATTTGCAACACAACTATATAACAAAACAAATCAATTAACAAAAATAAATATTAAAAAAAAACAAATCAAAAGACATAACAAACATAACAACAAAAAAAAAAAAGTAGACACACAAAATTTCACAAAAAAAGAAAACTTTTTTCAAGTTTTTGCTTTTGTTTTCTTTTTCTTTCCATTTTGGGTTTTGTTAAGAAAAATTTGAATTTCTGTAAAAAATATTGACCTTGAAACTGAGGTCGTGTCGTTGGCGAGCTAGAGGGTTGATCTAATTCACTTCTTAGATCTGGTATTGGTATCACTGTTGGCATTGTTAAACCACGACGATGATATATTCCATGTTCATTGGCACCGGCATTTTGTTTGGCGATGATCTCTGGTGTAATTTTTTGTTTGAATTTTTATTTGTTTTGAATTTTTCAACGATTTTTTTGTGTTGTATTTTATTATTTTTTTACATTTTTTTGGAAATAGCGAACAGAAACAGCAAGAGAAAGAAAGTAAAAAAGAATAAAAAACAGTTAAGGATTAATATAAAGAGTTGGTTAACAAATTTTGTGTTTTTTTTTTTAATTATTGGGATTTTCTTGAATATTTATGATCGCTTAAAACACCTATAACAATAAGAATGTGTTTTTTTAATTAAATAACAAAAGGATGTCCAAAATAAAAACTCCAAACCAAGGACGACATAACAACAGTAACAACACAATATACAATTATTATTGTAATAATAATGAATAACCTATACAAATGTGAAACATAACCCCGGGGACATAACGAAAAAAATCCATAGAACAGAAAACATAAAACGAATATTTCAAAACTATATATAAATCATAAACAGGGTTGTTATATTTAACACCTATAGGGTCATGTTAGTAGTCGAGGACAAAAATAAAAAAAAAGTAAATTGAAAGAAAAAAATGAGATGAAGTAGTTTTTTCTTTTTCTAGATAGATGAGACCCATTTAGAGGCATTTTTCTGTAGAAAAGACCTTATCTAGGGATTTTTCTATAAAAAAGAAGACCTTGTCTAAGGCTTTTTACCATAGTATGGAGGGTATATTAAGTTTGTCATTATGTTTGTAACACATCGAAATATATATATGAATCCCACAAAGTATATATATTCCTGATCAGCATAAAATTCTATGTCGATTTAGCTATGTCCGCCCGTCTGTCCGTTTATCCGTCTGTGGAAATCACTCTAGCTTCCGAACGAAATGAAGGAGGTTGATAAAATTTTACTCAAATGTAAATTAAGTCTGCAAGACTTTTGGTATTGAAAATGGGCCATGTAGATCCACGTCTTCGTATGGCCTCCATACAGTGGTACCTCCCGATATTCGGTATTTGGTGATCTTAGCGACACTATTCACCGGAATTGTTTCAAATTTGGTATTTGATGTTCGTAATGGATACTACAGCGTAAGACAGAAAATTGTATGTGCAGGTCCACTTCTTCGTAAGGCCCTCATATAACGATATCTCCCTATTTTCGATATTTCGATGATTTTAGCGACATTATTCACCGGAATTGTTTCAAACTTGGTATTTGAAGTTCGTAATGGATACCACAGCCAAAGATAGAAAATTATTTGTGCAGATCCACGTCTTCGTATGACCCTCATTAAACGATACCTCCCTCCCTATATTCGGTATTTTGATGATTTTTCGGACAATATTCACCGGAATTGTTTCAAATTTGGTATTTGAAGTTCGTAATAGACACTACAGCCTATGACAGAAAATTGTCTGTGCAGGTCCACTTCTTCGTAAGGCCCTCATATAACGATACCTCCCTATTTTCGATATTTTGGTGATTTAAGTGACATTATTCACCGGAATTGTTTCAAATTTAGTATTTGAAGTTCGTAATGGATACTACAGCCAAAGACAGAAAATTGTCTGTGCAGGTCCACGTCTTCGTATAGCCCCCATACAACGGTACCTCCGTTGTTCGGTATTTTGATGATTTTAGCAACAATATTCACCGGAATTGTTTCAAATTTAGTATTTGAAGTTCGTAATGGATACAACAGCCTATGGCAGAAAATTATCTGTTCAGGTCCACGTTTTGGTATAGCCCCCATACAACGATACCTCCCGATATTCGGTATTTTGATGATCTAAACGACACCATTACCCGGAAATATTTCAAATTTGGTATTTGAAGTTCATAATGGATATGGCAGCCTAAGACTGAAAATTGGCTGGCAGGTCCACGTCTCTCACCGATTTTTTTTTTCAAATTTTGCATTGAAATATTGCATAGCTTATGACAAAAGATGCCTATACAGGTCGGTCCACGTCGTCGTATAGACCCTAATATAACGGTTATATTCGGTATTTTTAGAATTTTCGACGGATTTTATTTTTTGAAAATTGCCAAATTCGTTCCATTCGTGGAGGGTATTCAAAGTTCCGCCCGCCCGAACATAGAGCGTTTTACTTGTTTTCTTTTTCTAGGTAGAAAATACTAGTTAAGAGACATTTTCCTATGGAAAAGACCTCCTCTAGAGGATTTCTCTTTTAAAAAAGACCTGAGGCTTTTTTCTGCTTAGGAAAGAAAAGGCCTCTGTCTATAGCCAACAAGAGACTTCTGCTGAAGGCTTTTGAAGTAGTTTTTAATATGGAAGAAGACAGATAAGATATTATTTTCTGTAGGGAAGGGAGTGTCGTCTTCTTCTCAAAAGTCCTATTATGATGTCTTCTTTCATTGAGAACCCGCAGAAAGACTATTAAAGTATTGTCCTTCTAGAGAGGTGCTTGATGGTTCTTTATAGGATTTTCTAGATAAAAACCCTCTTTTGCCATATTTTTCTATAGGAAACGATGTAAAAGGCTATTGAAAATAGGATATCTACAAAAAGGTTTTTATAGGGCTCAATTTTTGTAAAAGAAGACCACAAAAGAGGCATACAATGGTGTCAGTTTCTTCTAATTGAGATTTCTTCTTTCATGGAAAGCAGATGTTTTTTTCGGAAGACATGGAATTTTATAGAACATTCTAGCCTTTGACAGAACTTTTTATAGAAAAGCATTAGAAATGTGGTTTCTTCAAGAAGACCTCTTTTAAGTCATTTTTATGTAAGAGATTAACTTTGCTGGGAGTTATACTGTCAAAAATGATTTATTTTCTATAGAACCAGGCATTGATGGTTATTTTTTTTTTATAAAAAGGGCATAGGATGAAGCCTCTCCAAAAGAAAAGACTTTTGATCAACATTGGAATAGTTTAAAGATGAGATCTACATAAAATAAAGGGGAGCTAAAAAAGATTAGACCATTGATAGCCGAAATTTATATGAACTTCGGTCTTTCTATTTCTAAACCATGGGACTCACGATCTGTGATCAATGCACAAGGGGATACATCCAAAACAGCACCCGGATTTTTTTTTTCTAAAGACTGTCCTCACCGCATATGCGGCAGCTAATAACAGTTGGGTTGCTGCAACAGCCCAAACCCAATATTTTCTTAGTCTTCTTATAGAAAAGAGTTACAAAAAATATATATAAAAATATCTCTTCAACAAGCCATCGTCCAAAAAAAATGTATCGTCTATAAATGTGAATAAATATGAAATACAAAAGTCCTTATGAACTTCCTGATAGGCCCCTTTCTTTTTGGCCGAATCACTACTACCAACCGTAGACCAAAATGTGTTTTTATTTCAAAAAAGAGAAAAAAAACAAAGAAAAAAGGACAAAATACGAAAAAGCAAGGTAATGGGAACCTGGGGACGGACAATGATTGTCACACACAAGCCACCATTAAAACTGGTAGTTGAATTCTTTTTATCTATAACCCATTTCCTGTGAAAACAAAAAAAAAAAACAAACAAAACAAATACGTGATATTTATAAACAATTAGAGATTTTTAACGTCATCTCTAATTTGAGAATGAATGGTGGATAAATTTTTTGATTTCTTTGAAACAAATGAAAAAAAAAAAAAAAATACCTGTTTCAGAGACACAACCGTAGAAGATGTTTGCTCTTTAGCTTAAGGTTAGTGTTGCTGTTGTTGTTGTCAAATAATACAATGTATCTATTTCTTTTTTGTTGTTTGCTATGTGAGGGTGTTTGTGTGTGTTTCTTTAGTTTGCAATATACATTTTGCAAGGCTAATAATAATAATAATGATGATAGTAACGATAAAACAGGACAAAAACTTAAGGATGTTAGCCCTTTACCAAAATGGAAGAATAATGCCACAATGTTTGCATTTTGTTTTTTTTACTCAAAATCCTTGTTGATTGGGAGGAAAAAAGCTCCTCTAAAGGTTTTTTTATTTGTACAACAAATTGGGTGCTGGCTTTTCTTGTTCAAAATTATTTTTCATTTAGAGTATTTAGTGGGTGTTGTGGTCAAGGAAAAACAAAAACACAAAAATAAAAAAAATGAAAAGTGTGGTGGAAATTCGGTTACCATGAAAAAAGACCAATACCATAACGGAACACAAACAAACCTTTTCCGGTTTTACCATTTTCTATAACGGAATTCGTTTTTTTAGAGAAGCGAAATGAAAAAATTTGAAATTATTAACAAAAAAATGATAAAAAATCAAAATGATAGCAAAAAGAGACAGAAAAAGAAAAAAAGTAAACAAAACAATAAACCAAAATAAACCCACGAAAGAAAGTAATGCAAAACGCATATAAATAGAAAAGAGAAGGTGTACATACCAGCTGAATCCATGCCAGGATAACTGACACAATTGGCCGGATGGATTTCAAACAAATTGAAGAGGTCAGCCAGTAGGATTAGGAGATTTAATTTCATTGAGCTGAAAGGAAAGAGAAAAATACATTATTTAATATGGAAACAAATTAAAAATGAAAACACATCAGAGGATTTTTTCGGGAATAGGACAACTACTGCCTTTTTCGTCAAAGAACAAAAGACTAGACAAACGAAGCATGTCAACCTAACTCTTTTTTTTAATATTTTCAATTTGTACAGTAAACTAGCCCATAGCGCTATGGACGGTTCCAAAAACTTCTATAAACATTAAAACAAATTAAAACCAGTAAAGAAAGTCTTAAAGTCGGGCAGGGCCGACTTTATGATACCCTACACCACTTTGCTGATTTAGTAGAGCTCCGCATAACAATTAAAAGTTTTTATGGGAGAATTCAATCATACACGCTATGATTATAATTAAAATTTAAAATTCAAAGGACTAAATATGCCGAAGCATTTGTATCTTTTAAATTCGAACTTGTATTGCCCATTTGGTGCACAATGAATTTGAAATCAGATAAAAAATATATATGGGAGCTATATACAAATCAGAACCGATCTCGATAAAATTTGGCAAAGATATTTCTGAGCTGAATTTGATATATATCCCTGAATATCGTTGTTACAGAGTGCATATTACGGCTGTGGGTAACAAATATAACAAATCGGATGAACAGTATATATGGGAGCTATAGCTATATCTGAACCGATCTTCACCAAATTTGACATACTAGCTTCTAGACTCAATTCGGTCGTATATGCCATCCCATTTGGGCAAATATTAGACGTTTGGTGCACAATCAAAGGTAAATCGAACGAAGTTATATATGGGAGCTACATCCAAATCTGAACCGATCTCGTTAAAATTTAGCAAACGTATTTCTGAGCTGTATTTGATATATTTCCCTGAATATCGTTGTGACGGATTGCATATTACGGCTGTGGGTAACAAATATAACAAATCGGATGAACATTATATATGGGAGCTATAGCTATATCTAAACCGATCTTCACCAAATTTGACATACTAGCTTCTAGACTCAATTCGGTCGTAAATGTCAAATTTCATCCCATTTGGGCAAATATTAGACGTTTGGTGCACAATCAAAGGTAAATCGGACGAAGTTATATATGGGAGCTATATCCAAATCTGAACCGACCTCGATAAAATTTAGCAAAGGTATTTCTGAGCTGTATTTGATATATTTCCCCAAATATTGTTGTTACAGAGTGCATATTACGGCTACGGAGGACAAAAATAACAAATCGGATGAACAATATATACAACAATATATCGGTTGTAGGTGCAAAATTTCATACTATTTGGGCTGATATTACACGTTTGGTGGACAATAAAAGGCAAATCGGACGAAGATATATATGGGTGCTATATCTAAATTTTGACCGATTATCTCCAATTTCATTAGGGTTCGTCATTGGGCCGAACAAATGATTTGTGCAAAATTTCATCTGGATATGGCAATAAATGCGAACTGTACTTTGTTTACAAAAATACATGGACAGACAGACAAATCGACCCAGAATGTGATTCTATGCAGATCATCAAAAGAAACTATGGGTCTATATCGTTTCCTTTTGCCTGTCACAAACAAATGCACCTGACCACCTTGTGGTGTAGGGCATAAAAATGAGCAAAATTAACAATTGATTGACGGTTCCAAAAACTTCCATACATGACTTCTCTTTTGTTCTTTTACTAAAAAGCCAACGGAGCTAGTCCACAAAAAATCCTCATATGTATTTCCACCTTGAGAATTCAGGGTTTGTTTCGGTGTGACTATACGAAAAAAAAATTTTTTGTTTAGCTCGAAAAAATTAATTTGGTGTTGTGCTGTTCTATCGCTTTCATTTTCGCATAGTCATACCATGGTATAAGCATATTTACCCCCTCATATAGGTGACATCCTCGGGTAGCATATGGAACACATTGTATGGCAGATATTTCTGTGAAAAATTGCTAACTAGCAACACATTGTGTATGGAATCTTCAACGGCAGGCAAATAATTGATACGAACTTCTGTCCACGACAATACCTTGGGACAATAGTACGATATCAATAGGGCCAGGCAAATGCCATCGCACAAGTCTTGAAAATCTCGAACGGGTGGTATATCCAGAGACTGCAAACGTTTGGTCTGAAAAAAATAGATGAAAGACAATTAAAAATATGACCCAAATAACAATTTACATCTCAACTTACACTATCCTCATCCAAGGATGTTTGCACATCCCTTTCGATGCGTTTCTTTAGCGCCGCACATGTATGCGACACCCATGAGAGTATGGTTTGTTCGACATTACCACTGGCCAGCTGGGGATTAACATTACCCGATATACGTTTAATGGCATTATTGACCCTCTCATTTGATGTGATTTCCTTGGCATACAACAACATCAATGATTCTATAACCGCTATATGGGCCACCTGGAAAATAAAACATAATTGTAAAGATAAATAAATTTGTGTGTGTGTGGGTGATAAGAAAACTTGAGGGGATTTCATTTCATTTCGCTGTGTTAATTCTTCTCACTGCATATTTGTAGAAATATTTTATTTCTCTAAGGTCTTAAGTAAATTGTATTTTTATCAAATGATGATAAATGTGAGTCATTATATAAAACAAATATTTATACCCTGAGCCATATTTTTTAATATCTAGTTGTTGATTATTTGAATGGGGGAGGTGGTGGTATGGTATTTAATTTGTCTGGGTTATTAAATTTAAAATAAAAAACTTTTTTCCAAGTCTTAATTCTCAAGATGAGCTGGACTACAGGGCAAATATGGAGAGGATTTAAGAGAGCTCATATTCTATGGAAAATATTTGAATCTAGTCTTTCTAAAATGGTACTTGAAAAAGCTCTTTAGAAATAAGCCCACATGGGATTTGGTTCCATACAAAAGGTGGATTTAGGATGGAAAATACTTTAGTAGGTGCTTTAAAAATAGAGACCAACGATCTATTTTGGAGATCTTAACTTGTTGATATACAATTAGTTTTCCTTATCTCTACTACTAGGAACTTAATATCTTTGACAAAAAAAACCCGAGGAACTACATTTAACGTTCTTCTCAGACATAGATCCCATCACCACCTATGGGTTTGCTAAAATCATCCCCTAGCTGTTCAACCTCATGCGACAGGTATATGTACCGGATCAGTAGCCAATGATCTTCGCTAATGTACCCATTGGTGCCAGCTTGAACAGTGCCGCTCCGGTCACCCAAGCATACGAGACAGAATTTTGTAGTGCCTGCGTCGTCACCTTTTTCTTAGCCTTGGGTTACTGGTCCTCAGTTAACAGTATCATCTTCACAGCCCCTGGCTCAGATGGGGATTTGGTTGTTGTTGTTGTAGCAGCTCATACTATTGTGTTCGTTCTGACTGCTCTCGTTCAGGCTCTGCTTCTGAATCCAGTCTCAAAAAGGAAGCAACCTGAACGGGTTGGGCCGACAACGATACTGGAATTAGGTGAGTAGGTTTGGCTGGGCAACGAAATGGTTGCAGCGTGTCATGCGGGCCTTAGCCACAAGCTGGGCAGATATTCTGCACATCGCTGTCAAATCGGGCTCAATAGGAATCGAGACGACTGCACCATCCGGATCTTAACTGAGCCAAAACTACTCGGGTTTGTTGGGACCGCTCTCGCTTTTCAGCTGCAATGGGAAATGGTACAGTAGTACAGTATTCACTCTTATAACCTTCCATGACTTCTGAGACCGCGGTAGATGTCTGCGTTCTAATCCCCCGAAATACATTTTGATTTGGATTTGGTCTCTTTTAATACAGCTTCCTTCAAAGAGATTGGCAACTCTGCAGACAAGATACCTTTATGTCCACTCGCTGTAGCCTTCGTTGTAGCTTGTATTGATTAATCAATTTATCGGCTCGACAGAGGCAATAGACAGACCTAGATTTCCTGTCTGACATAGATTTCCTGTTCTTTCTCGCAGATAGATTGAAATTCGTCCTTACATTCCCTTGTTATAGAGGGTAGTACCAGAGGCGTTTTTGGGGGGGCTTGATTTCTTTCTTTCTTTCGATACCACCTTTTGAGATGAGCAGAGGTCTCCCACTGTTCTTCTACAGATACAAGGTGTATGAAAATGAAATCATTTGGAAATTCCATAGCCGATTTTTATTATTCTAAAGATAGGAAACACATTACCGTCTCTTTCGGTTCCAAAATTTAACAATTTAAAGAAAATTTACTCTATCTGCTGCAGAATGTTCTGGCCGAAGGGGTTTTCGATTTGTCTACATATGAGAATTTTCTTCTAAAAAATTATAATATTTAGGAAATTATATTGAAATAGGTTGGAAACCTTCATAGAATATCTATTTGTTTGGCCTTCTTCATATTATCCAAGGCTGCAGGTTAAAAATTCAAAGAAACACGAGCAAGGGAGTTTTTGTACTGTATACTGTCGAGAATTTCCTTCTTGAAAAGATATAATATCCAGGGATTTTTCTACAGAAATAAGTTGGAAGCTTTTATAGAAGATCTAGATGGGGTCTTCTTCTGCAGGAAGTAGACTCTCATATTGTCCAATTCCACAGATTTAAGACTCGAAAAAAATTCCTTAATCTGCTGTAGGAGATACCATGCGAGGGAGTTTTTGAATTGCCTACAGATAATATTTTCATTCTAAAAAATAAATAAGATAACAATTTATTGTTATTGGAACATATCAAATTTCCATAGGTCTTTTTGAAAATGTTAGGTCAGCTCGTTAAAAAAAAAACAGCCTGCTAGTCTTATTCAATAGATAATCCCTGTGTAGGCCCTCCCTTTTGAAAACCTGCTCTATAATGCAACTGTAATAAAAGGAATTGATAAAACGATTTTTATAGAATATAATAAAGTGCTCCTTACCCAAAGGAAAAATAGCTCAAACTGAGTTTGTTTCCTATAAGATAAATTAACACAGATGGTATCTATATGCCTAGAAACTGTAGACTTGTTGTCAATGCAATTTGACATTATTTCAGCGGCTGCACCACACTATTCTATTGCTTTTGTATCTTTCTTATATTCTCATTGTTTGATTCCTATTACAGACTATAATTCATCTTCCATAATAACACTATAATATTTGTCTTTTTAATTCAAATTCTTCCCCATGACATCATGTAGGACACACTTTGGAATATCAGTTCCTTTGTTAATATTTATAAACTTCGGTTAACTAAACCAAAAATTCCTTCTCTAAACAAATTTTTCCAGCCCAATATTCACTATTATCTACCCACTGCAAAGTAATACACATGTGAGTCTAATTAACATAAAATTAATGTACATAAATTGTTTACTTACAATCCTCAGTGGATTTGTTTGTATGAGAACGGTTTCGGTCAATGGCATATCCTTTGTCTCGTTGACGGGTACACCTTTGCGGGCCAATGTCTGCAGTATCGACCAATGATTAAGGCTTTGGTAATTTGGATCTGAATATAAATTCGACAAGGTTTGACAATAGATTGTGGCATTTGCTAAATCAACAACAATTTGGGGTTTTAATCGTTCCTGATTTTCGTGATCGCGATAGAATGGCTCCTTTAAATTGTCCGGTACACGATTGTTGTAGGCTTTGGAGAGTAACCATTTTACCGAGGCACGATAGCGGGCCTGCAAGAAAGAAAAACGTAAAAATAGATTAATAAACAAATATGGCATAACAAGAACATAGAATGATAATTAATTATGAGAAAACTTATGTTGATGATAATGATGAGGAGTAAGGAAGGTGATGGTTTCTTGTCTAATGGTTGTGGCTATTTTTAAAGTCAAATCAAATAGGTAGCTGGAAAAAGAAGAAGAATAATTATCTCAACGTAATGGAATTTCAGCAAAATCCCCATAATGAATGAATGAATGCATTGCTATAATTATTCCAGATGCAGGCACAGCCAGCCAACTAGCTAGGCGGCCGCCACAAGACATTTGGTGGCACACAAATATCTACTTATTTTTAGTTTTTGAAAGAGACACAACTCACAAAAGTCATCTTCTCATCGACCACCTATCCTATTTATAGGGCAGCACACGCACCCAGCTAGCCAGTCAGCCAGCTCGCAAGCCAACCAGTGAAGTAACATTTCATTTTAGCTGGCCATTTATTCTAACGCAGAATTATGTCAGCGTTTTTTGCGTTTTGTTGGTTCCCGTCATGTTTTTTTGTGCCGTTTGGCAAAACAAAATGTGTTATGTTTCATTTTTGTTTTGTGCTTGCTCCAACGTTGTTAATAAACCAAAAATTGTGGGGGCTTGGTTAAGACCAGTAGGAATTTACTGCACTCACTAGTCTAGCTCGCCACCACTGCTGTCCCTTTGTTTCTGTGAAATTATGGAGTGTGGTTACAGGTTGAACCTGTTTTAATGGCAAGTGGCAGGCAGCAGGCGTCGGCCAGCAAAACCTTACTTTGTAATACCCACCAACTACATATGATTTTGACGCGGACAATGATGATTGAGCGGCAGAGAGGTCAAGTGTGTGTGTGAGAGAGAGAGTCTTGTCGGGACAACATCAACAGACAAAACAAAAGTGAAATTAACAATAAAATATTATGTTTGACAATATTAGATGAACATAAAGAAGAAGAAATAATAAAGAAATATGAAAATATAAAGGGGGAAGTTGTTCCCCTCCCTTCCGTTCAACAAAAAGAATATTCATTCTTATTATCATGTGTAGGTTTAATTTGTGAGTACGTCGTATAGTACTCAACCAATAAGAATGACAATGATGATGACAGAGAGCAGCAATGATTGTGAGACCGGAGAGAGAGGACGCGAGCCAATTGTCAACAACAACAGACGAAACAAAAGTGAAATTACCCATTTGCTAATAAAATGTATGCTAATATAAAGAGGTGTATGAAAGAATATAAAGAAAAATATTGGACAAGAAGAAGAAAATAAACAATCTTCTTATTATTATCAAGTACAGGTTTATTTTGAGCGTACACAGGTACTCGATAATTCATGAGAATCTGAGGAGAAAACACGGAAAGCAGATGAGCTGTCATTTTCAATTAAATTATGATCTTTTGTATAGATAACCCTTAGTGATATTTAGGTCGACTGGTGGTTAATCAACTTTTGGTATTAAAAATACTAATGTGAGATTTTCTAACCCTTTTGCAGTTTCAGTATTGAAGTCAGTAAAATTAAAATGCATAATTTTGAATGGACCAAGTCAAATAAAGTAGGTCGTCAATATAACGACAATTTTTTCCTTTCGATAGAGCAATAAAGATGGAACATAGAAATTTTGCACATCAATGGATTTTGCTCGTAGGATGTTTGGTATTAAAAACAAGATCCATAGCTCCACGTTTATCGATCACAATTTCCAATTAAATCAGCTGTAATTTGACATTTTGGAATTTTTTTAGTGATTTTACTACCCCAAAAAATACACAATGTGGGATCTCTTTCTGGTAAATACTTGAAAAATATTTTAATTAGGTTTACGTTTGTACAAATACCCCTTAATTAGTACCTTCTGATTTTAGGTATTTTCAAGGATTTGGCTCCAGAATCCAACCAAATCAACTCTAATTTGATATTTCGCTTTCTCAGTGTAATATAGGTCCTTGTTTTGATATAATAATTTTCGATATTTAGAAGTTTTTTTTTTGATGTTTTGAATTATCAGTGCGTTACTCCCAAAAAATATTCCATTTAAGTTTACTTTTTAGTATAGTTCCATATAATGGTACCTCCTGATTTTCGGTATTTCGAATGTTTCAAACCCTCACTTTCAACCAAATAAAAAGAATGTCAATAATAAGTAATTTTCGTAATTTACAGATTTAGTAATACATTTTAATGGTTCTCTTCGTTAATGTTCTCAAATAACGGACATGTCATCATTATTATCGATAACGGTCGATTAAGCCATCTGGTCACACGGCAATTTGAAACGTAACATATGAAAATACCGTTATTTTTCTCCTATGGAAATTTTTATTGAAGGAAAGGAAGAAGAGAGAGAAATTATATCAGTTCATAATCTTAATACCACACGTCAACTCATGACGACAAAATGGCAGATCATCAAAATTTAAAGGAAATAGAATCGAAAGTGTAAAAGGTAATAAAAGTGGCCAGACTACACTTCAAATTTTGGCGACAAATTATTTAAATTTTCTCTTTTACCCGAAAACTAATCGCAATAATAAAGTGACCTGGACACACATCAAATTATTAGATTTTTCTGATTTTAGCCCAAATAACTTATCCCAAAATTTGCAAAAAATGAATGTGTAATAAAGTGACCTGGCCACACATCAAATTATTTCATTTTTTTTATTGATTTTAGCCAAATGTTACTATTTAAAAATTGCAAAAATTAATAGTATATTAAAGTGACAAGGACACACATCAACTTTTATCGAAATTATTTAAATTTTCTTTTTCTAGCTAAAAATTACTATCCACAAATCGGAAAAAAATAAAAGTGAACTGGCGACCCATCAAATTTTATAAAATAATCTTTGGACAAATATTAACAATTCATAAATTTTAAAAAATTAAATGTGTAACAAAGTGTAAATTATAGGAAAATTGTCTTTTTGCACATAAAATTGCTATCCAGAAATTGGAAAGAAATAAGTGTTAGAGTGACCTGGCCACACAATTGTTCGGTAAAATTAAGAAATTTTCTTTTTAGCTAAAAAAAAGTTCTAAAAATTCGAAAAAAATAAGTGACCTGGTCACACATCAGAATTATTAAAAATGTCCATCTAGCCAAAGTTTAACTATCCAAAAATCGGATAAAATGATAAAATAAATTAAAGTGATATGGCCACACATTAAAATTATGTCGACAAATTATTAAAAAGTGACTTTTAGAAAGAAAAAAACGGTTCTTTCTGATTTTCGGTTCTTAAAAGGCTTCGAGTTCTTTGTAGGAATTTTGGGTAGCCTATTTGGCCATAAGACAAATTTTCACATTATGGAAGGTAAATACTATTTACTTGTCTTCTATTCGGATAACTATGTGATCATCTCTCCCTTTCCCGCTCTCCGTTTGATTTGATCTACTTCATTGAAAATGAGAAATGATTGATATGCCTCTCTCCCAACTTGCAGCTGACTGGGAGGGGGCAGCAGGCCACAGACGAATAAAAATTTAGCGGGTTGGGTAGTTGCCCATTTTTTACTATTTTTTTCTTCATTTCTTTTCAGTACCTATATTCGCATAATTCAAAATAAGACAAATATTTATCGTGTTTATCGTCGTTATTGGCGTTTGCGTTCGTCATTATCTTGGCTGTGTTTGCCGCCGCAGTCGCTGTTGCTGCTGTCACATTTATTCTAATAACACACTCCACAACAACAGTGCGGCACCACACAACAAAAAAAAGTTGACACTGCTCATTTGGCAATAGATGTAGGCGAATGACACCATATAGCCAGAAACAATAACAACCACAACAACAACAACGAACGAGTAAATATCAAAATAAAGTATGAAAAAAAGCCCACCAACAACAATCTTTTCAAAACCCGACTTGTTCATTAACATTGAAATATTTTAAGAAATTAAAAGTATTTAAGAAAACAGCAAAAAAAAAAACACACAGCAAACACACATTCCAAATAAAATGATGAGGGAGGAGAATGATTGAGATCATGATTTTGCAAGGAGAAAAAACAACAACAAAAATGAGTGAGAAAATGATAAATAAATCAAATAAAACCAAAAAAAAATAACAACACCAAATGTCTTCCGCTGTCATTTGCGATTCCAATTTTGGGGCAAAGACGAAGAAAAAGATCACTTTGGTGGGTATTTTCTGGCTCAATGAATTTTGAATATGACGATGATGACAATCCAAAGCATGCATACCTGACGAATTTCTTGAGTCTCATCCATTGTGCTGCGGCAATGTTGTTTCTGTTGTTGTTGCTGGTGATGACGATGATGATGATGTTAATGTTGAATTTTTGTGTAATATTTTTTCGTCGTTCACACACTCAAATAGACACAAAAATCGCCTGTCTTTCAATACCGAGGAATTTGTTTTGTTGTTTTTGCTGGCAGCGAAGTCAAGCAAAACAGCCCCCAATGATTTTTGACTAGAAGCAGCAACAATAAATGTGCAGCGGCAGCGTAGTGTGTGCGTGTGTGGGGATAGGATTGTATGAAGTCAGAGAGGAGTGACGTTTATTCAGCTACTGATTCTTCTTCTTTTGCTTCTCCTCGACTTCCAACAAACACCACCACTCCACAACAAATGCTCCTTCCGACTACCAATTTTTTCCGTTTCTTATGCTATTATGTGGCCAGCTTAAGCCAGTAGCTAACATGCAGCAGCACAGTAATATTTGCAGGGCAGGCGTTTCCACATAGAAAAAAATGGAATATTGTAGGTTTTTTCAACTGTTGTTGTAGCGTGTGCCGTGTCTGTAACTTCTTTCCGCTTGCTTACTTTCACCGTGACACCATGAACAAAAATTTTCGCCAATCCGTTGATGTGATGTGTTTTTAGGAGCCGTCGTCGGCGTATCAATTGGATGAATGGTCGCTCGTTTGGATGTTTGTTTTGTTGTCTTCTTTGCTGTGCTTTTGGCTTTTCTTCTAGGTCCCCTCCTTTGATTAGTTTTCTTCTTAAGTAATTAGATGATTATCTTCGGCTTGCTGGCTGCCACACACAGCAAGTTGCAGTAAAAAGTGGCTTACTAAATGCAATCGCCGTTTATTGATGATGGAGGCTAGACGACGGATGACGGACGACGTTAGCGTAGCGGCAAATTACCAACCATCAACCAAGAAGAAGTTCAGTGTCCGTCCATTACAGAGAATTATAACTGCACTTTGAATGAAACATTTTCTTCAAAGCCAGTCACACACTGCCAGTCGGTTCAGTACAAGAAAGAAGAAAATCTGAGAAGCAAAAAATGATTCACTCTCATACAACATCGACCAGCCAGCCGACCGACCAACAACAGAAAGGCAGAGCGGTGGGCGTAGAGGTTTCGTTGGCAGCGGCAGCGTTTGTTAGCAGCACTGTCAACGTCGTCACTTTTATTTTAATATGTTTGTCCACCGTTACTTGTGTATGGTGTGTCAGCTGTTTACAATTTCTCTAATTTCTTCTCTTCTTTGGAATAATTTAACGTTGTTTTATTCTTAAATTAACACTACCTCATTTGAACTTCACTCATTCACAATTTATTCAAAAGATTCAGGCGAAAAAATTGCCAAGTTTTAGCACAAAAATTTCTTTTAAGCTCTGTCGTCGTCGAATTTTTTTTTCTTCTTTTTTTTGACAGCAGTTGTCAAATCTGCATTAACTTTTTTGTATATTCCACTCTTCTCTCGGCAAACCAACACTCACTTTGCTGCTATGACATAGCAAAATTATTTCTCATTTTTTTCCAACACACTCTCTCTCACTTTATTTCGTTTCGTTTCTTCTTTTATGCTTTTCTTTCTTCATAAAATCACCACACAAAAAAAGCAACACCTTTTCTATTTCTTTTTTTGCAAATGCTTTTTTCAACGCGAAATAATTGCAAATTCTATTCGAATCGTTAATTTTTTAGTTGATTAGTTGGTATTAAACAAATATTTTCGAATTGTGCTTTAGTTTATTGTTGATTTTTGGTATATTTTTGACGCGAAATTCGACAGACACTCCTCGCTCCTATACCTGTTTTTCTTTTTTGACAAATTCACTAATGCCCTAGAGGTGGCAGAGAAAACGATAACGATTGTTTTGCCCACCATTGTTGGGTGGTCGATAACGGCCGATGAGTATAAGGGGGATTCGAATGCATTGTATCTATTTGTACTCAGACAAAATCTATTATATTTTTGCAATTTATTAGTGTTTGTGTTGAGGAAAATAAATAAATTAATGTAAAAAACAAAGAATGTGAGATAATAAAATGATATTTGATCTATTATGATAAAATAATGAGTTTTAATGTGTGTAGCCCGTAACGATTACAGATTATCGTTTTAAGCGGGCAATATAGGGATCTGTAAATCGTTTTATTCATCATCAAATTTAAAGGAAATTTCAACTGAAAATGTATTTATTAAAATAAAACAACTAAAATAAAGGTGAAGTCAATATTAAATAAAATACTTTTGTATGTATTGTCACATTAAAATGATAAAATGAACTTTGAGCACATAACAACGATCATTTCCTATTCTTCAAACAAATAATGTAAGGTTCTGAATGTCGTTTATAGTATCACGCAAAATTCACAACGAAAATCAATGAAACCTGTTGATGGAGCAAAATTCAATAAGGAACGAGATAGTTGATGTAGGCGATATGATAATAAGTTCTTCTATCTGAATTTACGCATGAAATCAGTGAAAACCCTTTAATAATTTCATATTCAGTGATGTAGGGATCTAAGAATCGTTTTATTCAGCATAAAACAATCAGTTAATAAAGGTGTTGTGTCTTTGATAAAACCAGTGAATGGCAATGCAGTGTCATATTTATGTAGGTAATACTGTGTTTTAGAATTTATAGATACAGATAAAAAGAAAGATAATTGGATTTGTGTCCGTGCTAATAGAAAATATGGTGTGTCTTTGATATTGTTTTCTGCGAATGCGTCGATACGGCAACACTTGCTGGGGAACGCAGTTTTAGATAATTTAAATGAAAAAATGGATGGTATCTTGGCTAGAATAGTCGAGAAAAGGAAAGTTATCTGGCGATTACTCAAGACAAATTTTCTTGAATCAGAGTTGTATTTTCCTATCAATTTTCTTCACTATCAAGCAATCTTCAGAGCTGTCAGCATGTACGACAGCTTTGGCAGTATGAGAAAATAATGAAAAATTAATTGAATATTGCATTTTACCCATTTCGATCACTGATATCGTTTTAAGTGGCAAAGACATAGAAGTGTAAAGATAGGACAAGACAGAGTCAAAATATGGTAACCCTGTGAAAATACCTCTGTTGTTACGATATCATAACAACATAGTTACCAATGTTAACTGATTTAAACCGCTAAGGCAATATGTAAATTTTGGGAAAGGTCTATGGAATAGAATTTTCAAACCTAAATGTTGGATTTTTCAAATTATTATTTGTTATCCGTTTCTGTAATTGTAGTTTTTATATTAACATGTCTCTGCGATGAGCTGTTACTCTATGTATTGTAGACACAAACCATTTGCTCGAAATGCATTTTGTCTAGTCTTTACCATTTTAGGTCTTTGTAAGTGGTCAATATAGGGATCTATAAATCGTTTTTGGCTTATACAAATTTACAGCAAATTTTAAATGAAATTAAAAATATATTATTTCGAACAAATGAGAAAGCAAATCAATTGAACATTGCCAATTACAAGCTCAATTTTTAAATATTTTCTTCATTATTGGTTTTTAATTGTTCTAAAATCAGGGTTGTATTTTATTTTAGACGGAAGTCCATGTTAAGCGGTATTATTAGTTCGTCAAAAATAAAGTAATCTGGCCACAAATCAAGTTTCACTTGAGCGTCACTTTTGGTGGCTCAATAATGAAGTTATCTGGCCACATGCCATTTTTTGTGCAATTTTTTATTATTTTTTTAATTATTTCCCCGTTTTTTTCTTTGAGGGATGTCAAAGAAGTGAAAAGTATGGCCACACGTCAACTTATGACGACCAAAATGTAGATAAGAAAATCTTTATTTAAAGAAAATACAATTTACTTTTGTAAAGAATAGGGTTAAAAATGCAAAATATAATAAAGTGATCTGGCCACTCATCGAATTGTGTCGACAAAGTCTTAGACAATTTCGTGCGCTATTAAGCTATCTGGCCACACAAACACTGTTGTTTTTTTATTGAAGAAATAAAAAAGGCAGGAAATTAATATCAGCTGCTACAATAAAGTCTCCTGGCCACACCTCAATTTTTGGCAACAAAATACCAAATATTCAAATCTTTGTTTAAAGAAAATACTTTCACTTTGGGAATATAGTCGAAAGTGTAAAATGTAATAAAGTGAGCTGGCCACACATCCAATTTGTCAACAAATTATTAGAAAGTTTATTTTTAGTAAAAATTAAATTTTAAATTCCATTTGTGAACACATAAATTCAAGAAAAATAATATGTAATAAAGTGTCCTGGCCACACATCAAATTATTTCAATTAAATCCTCGAAATTTTCTTTGTTGTTAAAAATTTATTTTCCAACTGTATTTCTGAACACATATATTGCAAAAAATCAGTATTTAATATAGTGTCCTGGCCACACATCACATTATACTAGACAAAATCCCAGAAATTTTCCTTTTATCCAAAAGTTTTGTTTTGAAGTAAATTAAAAAGTACCAGTTATGTATTGTAATAATTAATTATTTATTATTAATAATTTCTTATGTTTTTTTTATTAATTTTATTTTTTTTACATTTCTTAGAACAAATAAATAAACTAAATCCGTAGATATGTATGTATGTCTGTATATGTATTGTATATTATTGAATATTTTACAGGGTTTTTTCTTATTTCTTTTTCATTAATTAAAACTATGAAAAAGCTTAAATTTACTAAATTGTTTTTTTATAGTTCTCAGTTTTGTTTTTGTTTTCGTAATTCATTATTAATTTAAAAAAAATGCAAAACACCTTAATATAATAAAAAAAAATAATATAAATATTTTTTTAATCATAACAACAAATAGTTACATACAAAAAAAAGGTTTACATTAGCATGTGTGTGTGTTTTGTGGGTTGTCTTTTAATATTAATATGATTTTGTTTTTTTTTATATATATAACAGCATTTAATTTAATTAGTTTTATCCTATAAAGTACATATGCGAAAATGTTTGTGTAAACATATTGTTGTTTTTTGTTTGTATAATGTATGTGGTTATGTACGTTTTGTGGGTATGCATGGCATTGTAGCACATAATATTGTGATTTGTGTATATGTTGATCTTATTATAATTTTTTTTGTTATATATTTTTCTTTTAAGAAAAAAATGAACAAAATTATTTTTGTAGATTATTCAAAATTTTAACGATATGTTTAAGTATATGTTGTTGTTTTTTGTTTGTTTTTTATTATAAATTTGTAATTATTTATATATCAGCTGTTTTTCGTTTTTGAAATTCTCTAATGTAGTTTTGATGTTATGATTTTATAGAAGGTTTACATGACAGGATTTGTTGTTAAGTCCATTCAAATCGGTTAGTCAAATAGAATACAAATCAATTGCAATTTATATAAAATTTGCTAATTACTTGAATACATAATAATTTATACAAAACAGATCAAATGAAAACAAATCTAGTAATGTAAACCCTGTATAAGAGAGAGAGAGAGAGAGAGAGAGTAATTTTTCTAATTTACCGGTTCACAATTGCATTTAATGTTCTTAAATAACGGTGATTTCTCATTTTCTCACCAAAGAGGGAATTTGTGAAAACAATCGTTTTATCGATAACAGTAGTATTTTATTAAGTGATCTGGCCACACAGCAACTTTAACTGTGACATATGCAAATACTGTTATTTTTTACTCTTACGGTCATTTTTATTGAAGAAAAGCTAGAAAGAAAGCAGGGGAATTATACCAGCCGATATAATAAGGTGTCCTGGCCAGACGTCAACTTATAACAACCAAAATTGAAAAAAGTAAATCTTTATTTAAAGAAAATACTAAATTTGTGTATAAAATACAGTCAAAAATGTAAAATGTAATAAAGTGATCTGGCCACACATTAAATTATGTCGACAAAATCCTAGAAAATTTCGTGTTTTGTTAATTGTTGATTTTTACTCCTATAAACATTTTTATTGATAAATTAAAGAAGGAGGGGGATTAATAACAGCTGTTATAATGAAGTGTCCTGGCCACACCTCAATTTATGGCGACATAATAGCAAATACTCAAATCTTTGTTTCAAGAAAATTTTGGAAAAATGTAAAAATAAAGTGATCTGGCCACACATCAAATTATGTCAACAAATTATTAGAAAGTTTATTTTTAGTAAAAAAAATAATAATTTTGAACAGCATTGAGAACATGTTTATTGCGAAAACAATTAATATGTAAAATGAAGTGATCTGGCCAGACATCAAATTATTTCGACTAAATCTTAAAAATTTTATTGTTGTAAAAAAATAAATTTCCAACTGCATTTCTGAACACATATATTGCAAAAAAAGGTTAAAATAATATTTATTAAAGTGTCCTGGCCATACATCAGATTATTTCGATTAAATCTTAGAAGTTTTCTTTGTAGCAAAAAATTAATTTTCCAACTGCATTTCTGAAGACATATATTGAAAAAAACAATATTTAATATAGTGTCCTGGCCACACATCATATTGTCTTAGACAAAATCCTAGAAATTTTTCTTTTGTCTAAAAAAAATTTTTGGGATGAATAGCTTCAAAAGTTTAATATGTAATAAAGTGGTCTGGCCACACATCAAGTTATGTAGCCAAAATTCTAGAAAGTTTCTCGCAAAAAACAATAATGTGTCCTGGCCACACATTAAATTTTGTCTAAAAATAATTTGAAATTCTCATTCCAGCCCCAAATTATCTTTCCTATAGAATTGTAAACAATCTTTATATTGCAAAAAAATATATATATAATAAAGTGTCCTGGCCACACATAAAATTATGTAGCCAAAATCCTAAAAAACGTATTTTTAGCCAAAAATGAACTATCCAACTGTATTTCTGAACACACAAATTGGAAAAAATCTATGAAAAATATAGCGGCCTGGCCACACATTACATTATACTAGACAAAATCCGAGAAAATTTCCTTTTATCCAACAGTTTTTTAACTTTTCCAAGATATAGTGCAAAAAATTAAAAATAAAAATAAAAAATAAAGTGACCTGGCCACACAACAAACTATATCGATAAAATCTTGAGAAAAATTTACTATTCCACTGCATTTGTGAACACATAAATTACAAAAATTACCCACTGCATTTTTATTCAACCTCATTCTTGGGGGATATGTCTTTTTTTAATATAAATTTGCCTACTTATTGTTAATAACATTTTGATGCATGGTTTTATTTTCAATTTTTTTTTTCAATATTCTTTTTAGCAAAAATTTTTGTTTTATTTAAAGAATGTATGAAATACTATTAGCATTTGTTAAGGGCTTTCTCATGCGGGTTTCTTTCTTGTAGCATTACTATTACAAATTGTAGTAATAATAATAATAAAAAATGATATATGTTTTAACTCGTATACATTAAATTTGTTGTTGTTTTGTTTTTGTTAATTATTTAATGTTGTTGTTGTTTTTGTTAATTATTAAATATTTTGATTTGTATTGAGATTTGTTGTAATGTGATATGATACTTGTTTTTTTGGGGAGAGGCTAATTTTATGGAGCTGCTGGATTTATAAGGGCGTTTTTCGATTTCGAAACCCCTTTTTGAGCCGTTCCATTTAATAACAGCAGATTGATTTATTTGATATTGCACACATCTGCCATGTTTTAGCCATCAAGAATATAGAAGTTATACCATGTTCCTACTGGTTCGGGTTTAAGCCTTTTTGATATTGAAAATCCCCGCCTGGTTGATTTAGTAGTAATATTATTTAGTTGATGTCACCAATTGTGTACTACTATAGCCTTGGGTATTGCATGTGGGCAATGTGAAGGGATTGAAGCTTAAACTGCCAACTCCTAAAAAGAAAGAAAAATACGGAAATTGGTTAAATGTCATATTAAAAATAAGAGAAAAAATATTGCCATGTTCACATGGAGATAGATTTGGCAACTTTTAAAAATACAATTTATTGCTCGGTGGCTTAAGACGCTACCAAATTATTATCTCTCCATGTGAACAGTATATTAATAAAATATGAAAAGAGCTATAGGTTTAAACAATGTTTACACAAGTCTAATATATCTATAAGTCCTCTCACGCTTTGCCCAAAAATATACTTTTTTGAATGTGAAGTCGACTTGATAATCTTTAGAATAAATTTGAAGTATGGCCGGTAAGCTTTAAATGCTGCCAAATCTAAATTTCCCCTCGCATAAACATTGTTATCTCTGTGAATAGGGTTATATAGATCGATTCTGGCCAACTTAATATTAATTGAAAAATAGAATTTTTACAAAATTTTAAATTAAAAATTAAAATTTATAATTATCATTTAAAAATCTTTAAAAAGTAATAAAAAACTTAGGACCTAGAAGTGTGGGTGCCATGATTTTAAGAAAAACTCAATTATTTTTATGGGAAGTCGCTTTATCTCCTTTGAAACTTAATTTGAGGTTTGGCCGGCAAGCTTTAAGTGTTGCCAACTACATCTTCTCTCCATGTAAACAATGTTATCTCTAAGAAAGGGGTATATAGATCGATTATGGCTAATTAATATCAACTGAAAATATAACTTTTACCAAATTTTAATTTAAATTTTTAAACAAAAAATATTAATTAATAATTAAAAAGCCTTAAAAAGTGGGAAAACTCATAGAACCTCGAAGTGTAGATGCTACGATTTTAAGAAAAACTCAATTATTTTAATGAGATGTCCCCTTATCTGCAATGAAACTTAATTTGGAGTTTGGCCGTGTAGCTTTAAGTGCTGCCAACTCAAAATATCACTCCATGTAAATGATGTTATCTCTATAAAGGGTTATATAGATCGATTCTAGCCAACTAATTATTAACTAAGAAATAAAAATCTTAACCAAATTTTAATTAAAAATCCAAACAAAAATTAATAAATAACATTTAAAATATTTAAAAAGTATAAAAAATCTCAGTACCTAGAAGTGTAGGGGCTATGATTTTAAGAAAAGACTCAATTAACTGCCTTCAAACTTAATTTGAGGTTTGGCGAAGAATCTTTAAGTGCTGCCCAACCAAAGTTGTCTTCGTGTAAACATTGTTATCTCTATAAAAAGGGTTATATAGATCGATTCTAGCCAACTTAATAGCAACTAAAAATAAAAAGCGCTGCCCAACCAAACTGGTCTTTGTGTAAACATTGTTAACTCTATAGAAAGGGTTATATAAATCGATTCTAGCCAACAAAATATGAACTTAAAATTAAAAATGTTAACCAAAAATTGAATTCAAAATCCAAATAAAAACTTAATAATTAATATTTAATAATCATTAAAAAGTAGGAAAAATCATAGTACCTAGAAGTGTAGTATTTTTTGGAGTGTTGTTGTTTGCAGAGTTGTAGTTTCGAACAGCATTCCGGGAACTGGCCTCACTTCTTTGTGGGGGGTGGTGGATTATTTACCGGGAGTATTGAAAGGATTTACAGGATCCTGCTGGATGTTAGTCTAAACTGCTGCTGTGGCTGCTGAAACGGCTGTATTATGCCATGGCTGGTGGGGATGGTGATAGTGATGCGGATGTGTGTGATGATGTTGGACCAAAGCCTGGTGCCAGGTGCTGGACACTGTTGAAATTAATGGCGAAAAGGCACTTGCTGAGCATTTTTTGTTTTTTTTTTTTTTTGGTATTTTCAAGTAAAAGGTTGGGTATTTTTTTGAGGGGAAGGAGGAGGGGGTATTGTAAATTGTTTTTTGTGTTCAAATCAAAAGAAAAAAAAATAGGCAAAGAACAAAAACAACAAATTATAAAAAAGCAGAAAGAAATTTTAAATAAAAATGCTAAACATAAGGGAGTACAAAATAATCTAACCAAAATTATTTTTGCAGAAACAAAATAAATAAATAAAAAAAATAACCTCACAAATTTCTTTTGACCAAACACAAAAAACAAAAATCTTTTTCTCTCTCTCTACATTATTGAAGCTACTAACTTGAAGTGGAATTGAAGACACTGCCCGGGGAAGTTGACAACGTACCCATATTGGTTGTGGCTCCATAGCCATTTGAACCAGCTGTGGTGGTGGCCCCGTATGAACCTCCCGAACTGTGGGGTGTCGATGCACTGCTGCAATAGCCTCCACGTGGGCTGACACTGCTCGACTGGGTCCTTTGATAATCATCTTCGGCCCATTGGCCAGAACCATCCTGGACGCTGACTGCCAATTGGCCGGCATATGAGTTGAAGCCGGTGGAACCGCCGGGGGATCTAAAGAATATAGAGAAAAAATGTTAAAAAACGGGTTGGGAAGCAATGTATGCTAATCTTACCTTGGCATTGAGTACAAAGCCTCAACAAGATCAGCTGCCCTTTTCAAGATGATTTCCTTTTGTAGCTTTTCTGGATCTCCTGGATGGCGGGGTATCAATTTTTGTAAACGTTGGAAACCATAGTCGATGGTGGGTTCATTTAAAGCTATAAAATGAAAGAAAAGAATGAAAAAGTTAAGATTAAATAAGGGAAATCAGAAGCAAACAAAATCGATCTAGTGATCCCTACTGGCTAAAGGCAAAAGGCCACTCTCTCAATTGATAATAGAAAAATGGTGAATTACTTAAAAGATTTGTGGTTTTAAACCGCAAAATAACAAAATTAATCAAAAAAGGATGACGGCGTTGAAAAATTTAATGCCAGCTTTGGGATTATAGTATGTATATTTCTTATTGAAAAAGATTAGTTAAATCAAACTTTTATAAATCGGAGAAAGTTTCATTGTTTAAGGAAAGGGATCAATGTTTTGGAATAAAATCAGGGAAATATTTTTTTGGATAGTCTTGGCTTTGAGATATGGCCATAATTTGCAAAAAATTAAAAAAATTCTCTCGTTTTTCTTGCTCTACTTACACACATAAACAAAACGTCCCGGTGAGCCCTTACAAAACTGTTTGCTCTTATACGAAAGAGTAACTTCGACAACACCTGGTATATGTCGGGGCGGGGTCTGGACACGTATGGCATGTGAGGTGATCAATTCACTCCAGACAAGCATTGTACCGAACACCACCTGCAGGCCATCAAAGAAATTGTCTCCCACAATAATGACGGTGGCGCCACCTGTTGTCCAACCCTCACTGGGCGATATGGCTTTAATGCAGGGTGTGGCCACTGGCAAGGGGGGATAGAGACCTAAAATGTGAGAAGAAAAACATAACAATAAATAATTTGGAAATTGAAGAAAATGTGAGTTGTGTCCGTTGTATGAGGGGGAGTATGCCAATTAGAAGAAAATTAAAAGATGAAATAAAAAACAACAATAACTACACTACAATAATCTTTGTTTACTTTACTTTACGTTGCGTTGCGTTACGTTACGTTACTGATTTACTGTTGTCGAAATACGCTACTAATCATAGGTTTTTATATGAAGAGAAACATTGAAAATCATTGATTTTTTCCCCTAAAATTTGCTGCAACAATACAAGTTTTATATAAAATCCTGTAAAGGACACCTTGAGAGAAAAATAAAAATTCGGAGATGCCCATAATAACCTACTTTTGGATTTTAATACCAAAAAAATTTTAATAAAAAATTAAATTTTAAATGACCTTAAATAAATGGAATTTTTTATAAAAATTCCTTGCACAACTTTGAATTTTTCGCAAAATCGTTGCAAGGACCTCTCACAGAGAAAATAAAAATTCGGAGATGTCGGTTCAAACACTTTAGTGGGTTATATTACGTAGAAACTAAGGAGGAAAGTTATTCTTATAAGACTCCTAGAAGTATACTACATTTTCGGTAGAAAAGACACAACTTTCTCTAAATTTTTGTATAAAATCCTTTAGAGGACACCTTTAGCAAAAAATAGAAATTCGGAAATGCCGCTATCTATTCGTTTAAAGGATTTAATATCAAATTTATAAGAAATGTATATTTTTGGTTAACTAAAATTATTTTGTTTTTTTTCAGAAAAAAATAAGGTTTTTGAAAAATCCTTGCATAACAGTAGTAAGGACTCCACACAGAAAAAATCGAAATTCGGAGATGTCCATTCAAACACTTCTGTAGGTTATATTACCTATAAGCTAAACAGGAAAAAATCCTTTTATAAGTATCCTAAAAGTATACTACATTTTCGGTAGAAAAGACATAACCTTCTGGAAATTTTTGCCCAAAATCCTTTAGAGAACACCTTGAGCAAAAAATAGAAATTCGGAAAAGCCTCTATCTATTCAATTGTAGTATTTATTTGAAAATATTAATTATTTAAGTAATTTTAATTTTCAGGTACATAAAAGTATTTTCTGATTTTCTCTGGAAAATTTCCTGGGACTAGTGAGTTTTTTCTGAGAAATTATTTTGAGGACATCCTAAACAAAAAATAGAAATTCGGAATTTGTCTTTGCAATTCATTAAAGGATTTTATTTAATAGAAACTTTAAAGGAAATAAATATATTTTTGAGTTTTTGTTGAATTCTTGGATTTTCTAAAGACGTGTTTTGCATATTGGCAAATTTCGGCCAAAATCCTTTAAAGGACCTCTCAAGCAATAAATACAAATTTTAATAAGAATTCGTTTATGGATTTAATAGACCAATATTTTTTCAAGAAAAAAATAATATTTTAAAAATATTTGAAAATAATGGGATTTTCTCAAAAAATCTTGTATTTTTTTCAAGTTTTCGGCAAAATCCTCTCAAGGACCTTCTTGGTAAAACACAGAAACTTCGGAATTTTTGCTAGCAATTCATTTAAAGATTTTATAGAATTATCCTTTTTTAGAAAAATATATGTTATTAAACTTTTGGTAGCATACTGTGGATTTTCTCAAGCGGTTTCTCGTGTATTTGCAAGTTTTGCACAAAATCCTTTAAAGGACGTTCTAAACAAAAAATGGAAATTAGGAATTTATCCTAACAATCAATTTAAGAATTTAATTAAAAAAATTAAAGAAAATCTACAATTTTTAAAACTTCCGCTAAAATGCTGGGACTTCCATAAGGAGTTTCTTATGAATTACCAAGATTTGGGCAAAATCCTTTTAAGGACATCCTATTCGAAAAATAAAAATTCTGAAATGCCTTTTTCTATCGATTTGTGGATTCTATTATATAAAACTTTTGAAAAACAATATTATTAAAATAGTCTGATAAAGTAGAGTAATTTTCTCAGGAAGTTTCTTGTGTATTGACAATTTTCCACCAAAATCCTTTAGAAGACCCCATTATCAAAAAATATAAATTCTGGAATGTCCCTATCTATCCATGTGTCAGTTCTATTAAATAATACTTTTTTTTAAAAAAATGCCGTTTTTACAACTTTTACTAAAATATCGGGATTTTCTTAGGAATTTTCTTATGTATTGGCAATTTTCCAACAAAATCCTCTTAAGAACACACGAAGCAAAAAATAATAATTCAGAAAATTCTCTATCTATCCATTTTCGGATTCTATTAAATTAAATTTTCAATTAAAAATTACCATTTTTAAAGCTTTTCGTAAAAAATGGGGATTTTCTCAAGTAGTGTCTTATATATTGGTAAATTTCCTCGAAAAATTTTTAAAGGCCCATGTTAGCAAAAAATATAAATTTTGAAATGTCCCTATCTATCCATTTGTGAATTCTATTAAATTAAACTTTTGAAGAAAAAAGTACAATTTTTAAAGTTTTTCATAAAATATCGGGATTTTCACAATAATTTTCATATACATTGGCAATTTTCCAACAAAATCCTGTTAAGGACCTCTTCAGCGAAAAATAAAAATTCGGAAGTGTCTCTATATATCCATTTGTGGAATCTATAACAAAAATACATGTAATTACATATTAAAATGCGTAGTCGCCTAAAAGTATGCAACGATTTTTGTCTTAGAAGTTAAACTCCAGCCGACTGAGTTTACATTGAAACCTAAGTTAATTTCTACGTTTCTACCAAATGAAAACAAACAACAAAAAAACGTTTTTAATGGAAATTTTGATGTACAGACCATCATAGGTACTGTCAGGCGCAAGGGGATGTCCCGTTATGGACAGGGAGTGATTGCCTGTACCTTCCGTGGTGTCCAAACGTTTGGCGCGGCGACCATGTTTCGAGTTGTTGTGCACAAACATATTGTCCGATATGGCCAAGAGGGGGCCCTCCACGCTCACCTGGGTGGAAATGACAACCTGGCAGGGGGAGAAATAAATAATTATTTATTTAAATTAAAAAAAAAAAAATGAAAAAATATTTAAAAACTTACCTGAAATCTTCTCATATCTCGGGGATTGCCAGCATTTTTCAAACAATTTTGATTGCATTTCAAGAAGAATTTCAAAAAGAATCTAAAAAGAGAGAAAACAAATGATAACAATTAGTACACATTAAAGGATGGCCGGAGAGGCTCTTGAGAATCTGTCATAATATTTCACAGAACAGACATAAAAATAATCTGACACCCTAAATAGTAATAATGTTGCCTTTCTTTGGAAACTTTAAAATTTATTACCTCACGAAAAAAAATTTTCAAAATTTTATCTATATTTTTTCTTTGTATTCGAGTTGGAGAGAAAGAGGGAGAGGGGGTAACAAATTTACATACAGCCAGGCCATAAAAAAATAAACGGGGCTGTGCTGAACATGTGAGTTAAAATAATCGAATTTGTTTTGTATGTTAAGTTAGTTTAGTATTCAAATTTCAATTCATTTCAACAACAGCATGCCGTAGTGTAATACGATACCAACAAGAACAACAACAAAAAGGGAAAGTACTTCAATCCTTGTCACTCATCCTTTTTGAAAAAAAACATACACACTCACACACACAACTGTTATGATCTAAGGTTTTATTTTTGTGAAGCTGCATTCTCTCCTCTCTGGGGAGAAGATGATTTTTTCCCCTTTGTGGTTGCTTTAATGAAATCAGTGAGAATTTCCCTGTTTTTAGGTTAGATCAGATTGTAGTGCAAAGTCGGTGTGAAAGAGATCTGGGTACTTAGGGACAATTAGCTGGTCAAAGTATCACTTTTTAATGGATTTTTCTATGCGATATGAAAATAAGTGTTGATTTCAGAATATGTTGAAGTAGCCTGGATTAGTTTTTCAATATTTAGCAAGAAATTTAAATATACAGAACATTTGATTATGTGATAATAAAACATGAGGGAAATTCATTAAAGGAGATAAAAATTAGGGGTAGATCGAAAAAAATATAAATTCTAAGAAAATTTTTTGAAGTTTTTATTGAATTTTTGAATTTTTTTAATGATGTGATAATAAAACAAGAGAGAAATTAATTCAGGAAGGAGGGAATAGAAACAAAAAAAAATGTTTCAAAATGTTCAAAATCTATATTGAATTTTTTTTATCAAGAAATAAACAAAATATTTTAATAATAAAAACTATAAGAAAAAAAAAACATAATTCATGAAAATAATTTTTCATATTTCGAAAAAAAAAATAAAAATTTTATAAAAATTTTCAAACTTTTTTTCAAATTTCTAAATTTTAATAATATTTTTTTTGTATTTGAAGTAAAAAAACAATAAAATATTAGATAAAATATTCGAGGTGACTCCAATTTTTTAAGAATTTTTGACAAACAAAAAAATCGAAATTTTATAAAATTTTCAAAATTTTTTATAGTTTTTGCTTATTAAGAAGTAGAAGTAACAAAATGTATTCAAAGACATAATATTTTGAGACATTCGAATACAAATTTTACGATTTTGGACAAAGACATTTCAAATTTTTTTTTCGAACTTTTCGAAATTTTTATAAAAAAAAAATAATGTAATAATTAAGTATATGAGAAATCTATATAAACATATAATATTTAGAGAGATTCAATTATTTCTTAGAATTTTGAAGGAAAAAAAAATTCAAAAATTTTTAGAAAATTAAAAATTTTTGTTTTAAGAAGTAAAAAAAAAAAAATAATGTCAGAATAAAAATAACAGAGACATTAATATTATTAATTAAATAAATTAATGAAAGAAATTGATATTATATTAGGGAACATTGAAAAAAATAAAAATTGCATAAAAATTTTTAATTTTTTTTTTAACAAATTTCAAAATATTTAGAATATTTTTTATTTATTTGATGAAAAAAAATAATAAAATATTAGATAAATTAAATCGAGGTGGTTCTAATTTTTTAAGAATTTTTGAAAAAATTCCAATTTTTATAGAATTTTCAAAAAAAAAAAAAAATCGTTTTTGTTTATTAAGAAGTTAAAAAAAAAAATAATGTGACAGTAACATATAAAACAAAATGTATTGAAAGACATAATATATTGAGAGATTCGAATACAAATTCTACGATTTTGGACAAAATAAATTCCAATTATTTTAGAATTTTTCAAAATTTTTATAAAATAAAAACAATAATGTAATAATTTAATATGAAATTCATGAATATAAGCAGATAATATTTAGAGGAATTCGATTTTTTTAATTTTGGAGAAAAAAGTTCAAAATTTAATAGAATTTTTATGGAATTTTTATTATTAAGAAGTAAAAAAATAATGTTATAATAAAAAATAATAGAGAAATTAATATTATTAATTACAAAAAATTTATATTATTTTGGGGGAAACCGAAAAAAAAAAAAACTTTTAAAATTTTCCAAAAATATTAAATTTTTGTTTTTGAAAAGTAAACAAATTTTTATAAAAGAACAATAATATAATAATTAAATATGAAACAAATCAATATGAGCAGATAATATTTAGAGGAATTCGATTTTTTTTTTGAATTTTCAAAAAAAAAAGTTCAAAATTTTATAGATTTTTTTTTTTAAATTTGTGTGGATTTTTATTATTAAGATGTTAAAAAATAATGTATATTAAAAATTTAAAGAGAAATTAATATTATTAATTACAAAAATGTATATTATTTTGGGGGAAATCGAAAAAATTCAAAATTTTATAAAAATTTTAAAAATTTTCAAAAATATTGAATTTTTGTTATTAAAAAGTAAATAAATAGTACAATATTATTTACAATTATGAACTTGTTACAAAATCCTATAAAAATATGAATTAAACACAAAGATCAAGATATTCATTTCTCAAAAAACCCTCTATTTCTTGCTTTTTCTTGCCCTAAAAAGTCGTTCTCTGACATTTAAAACCTAACCTAACTCTTTCTTCCTCAATGCAATTCAACTACATAACATACATATTTTCTGGAATGCAGTGCGTAAAGTTAAATGTCAAATGGTCTGAACTTTTTTCCAAAAAAAAAAAAAAAAAAAAACTTTTTCTGATATTCATGCCTTCCCTGATGTGTTATTTTCTTCTTTTCATTTCCCTCGTTCAACTTGCCGGAGTTGGCCAAATAAATCGAACAGATGTTTGCCGTAGGGCAATTAGTTATTTACACTTGGCTACTAGACGTAAATAAATATGTGTGTCTACAAATACGACGACGGACATGGGCGAGCATACGTTTAGGCAGACATAGATAGCTCACCAACTGCGCGGAGTTGGTGTCAGTTTTTTTCTTCCTGTTAGTAATGTTCTTGTTGTTGTTTTTATGTGCCATGCCAATAGCCTTCCGTATATCAAGTGCACCCATTAATAAACCCCAGGGCGACAAATTGAATTCACACGGATAAATAAATTTGCCTAAGGGCCATGCTAGCAAGAGAAGCCAGAGCTAACTCCCCATTTGTTTCTGTAACAACAACAACACAAAAATAAACAGTAAATGCTGCTTCTCTCAATTTGAGACAGCGGGTGGCCAAACATTTCACTGGTCCTTTTTATGGCATAAAATGCAAAAACAAAAGAAAGCCCATCATCATTTAAAATAGTAAAAAGAAGTTTGCAATAAAATTGTCCAAAAACAACAACAAAAATAAATAGAAGATCCCTTCCCGGGGATTTATTAGCAAAAATTCCCAATGAAAAAAAAAAACAGGGGAAGCTGTAAACAACCCTGATTTGCCATACTAACTCTCACTTTCTCTCCCTTTCCCTCTCTCACACACACTTATCCCAAAGTGAGCAATGAGCAAGTATCACATCATCATTTTAATAATAAAAAGAATTACAACAACAAAACTAGCCCCGGATATACAAATGAAATTAAGAGGGATTTTTGTTGTCGTTGTTGTAGTGCTTTGTTTTTGTTGAAATTTGTGTTGACACTTTGGCTCAAGTGGCCATATAAGAGTGCGCCACAGGATTCCCGAAAAAAGGAGAGCCTGCTGTCTGTTGTTTTTTGTTTCTTTTTTGGGGGGAGATTTTTTTTTCTCTTCTGTTCTCAGGAAATTGACATTTGTCAGCAATTACGGGCAACGGTAATAAATCGTCTAAAGGCAAAAACGTGCATTGCCTTTAAATTAACATAAATAATGATTTTTCGTTTGTTTTCATTTTTTTGAGAGGGAGAGAGTAGAGAAGATTTTGACACCTAGAAAAAGCAAATGGATCGCTTGCCTTGGAGTTTTAGGGAAGGGCAGAGTTGAGAAGAGTTAAAATAAATGTAATTTTAAAGATTAGATTAGATTAAAGATTTAACTAAAAAGTGCCAAGTCTTAACTAGCCCTAATGTTGCTATAAAAATATTTCCTTGTGAACACCCAAAAGTATGCAAGAACTATTATTGATTTTGTAGGTATTTTTTGATTGGGCGCCATAGAACTTAAAACCGTTTTTAATGTGTTTTAAAGGCTTACATTAAGTTATGCATTGCTGTTATTATTATTTTTTTCAGTTAGGTATCTCGTCTACCTCAGGTATGGACTCCAATTTTGTGAAATATGAATGACTTGGCCATTATATGGCACATTTAATTAGACGCTGACATAAAAGCCACGTTTAAAAGTGGTAACTATCCTTGGAATAATTGGCCAAACAATTATATTCAGTTTTTTCTGGGTTTTCATTCATTTAATGCAATGTAAGAGAATAGTATTGGGTGGCAGAGATACGAGGATGGTATGAAAAAGGTTTGGAAATAAAGAATCAAAAATTTGGGTTAAGTTGGTACTTGAAAAAGTTGAAAAAATTCTTCAAGAAATTTCCAATTTTTTTTGAAGGAGATAGAGAGAGGGGAGATCGAGAGGGGAGGGGGAGAGAGACTGTATGAAAAATTCCTCAAAAATATCTGTTTTTTTTTTCTTTGTAAAAGATAGAGAGGAGGGAGGGGAGTAATAGAGAGTAGACATCGAAAATTGGGTAGTTAGTCGTTAGTTGAACGTTGGAAAATTCCTCAAGAAAGTTTTAAGGGGGATGGGGTAGAGAGACTTAAGAAGACGGAGTAGGGACAAATTTAATTTCTTATTTCAAAAAAGGACATTTTTTCATTATCCATATTAAATCCCTAGTAATTTC